GCGGCGGCGGTCGAGACCAACCCAACCCAAAAAGCACGATTCTGAAGTTGGGCTCTCACTCTCTCTCTCTCTCAAGGAGGTGGGATGTGACTCCAGCAGGTGGCGCGCAACCTCTGGAGTCTGAGCATGAGTTTGAGGCGTGCTTTCGCTGCACTTCCTCGCGGCTGACCACAAACGACGATAAAGTGCTTGACCCGAGGGTGGCTGGTAGAGGGACGGTCCTGTGCAGGGGTCCGATGTCGGCGCCTAAGTCAAGACACTCTTGAACGCCCTCAAGTCACGAGATGCGCTACCTGTGTGTTTTGGTCGCGACGCTCGCCGGCGCGTCGGCGCAGACAACGGCCGCCGCACCGGCCGCACCGCCCGACGCCGTCGCCGCACCGAAGCCCACGCCTGTGCCCACGCCCGAGCCCACGCCCGAGCCCACGCCCGCGCCCATCGTGCCCGCACGAGGCCAGTGCGAGGCGCTGCAGACGCTCTTTGAGAAGACTCGCGGCGCCTCGTGGCAAAACAACACGGGCTGGATGACCACCCATGTCAGCTGCTGCAAGTGGCACGGCATCACCTGCGACGCCGAGGGCTTCATCACGAAGATCGAGCTGCCCTTCAACAAGCTTGCCGGTGCGCCGCTCCACGCCCCCCCCTCCCCCCCCCTCCCTCCCTCCCTCTCTTCTCACTCCGCCCCCTCCACGCCTTGTGCAGGCACGCTGCCCAAGAAGCTCGAGCAGGCTGGCGACCTCGAGCACATCAACCTGCACTCGATGCAGCTGAGCGGCACACTCCCGCCCGAGTGGGGGCGGCTCAAGCATTTGGAGAAGCTCTCGCTCTACGGCAACAAGATCTCTGGCGCCCGCCCGCCCGACTCCCTGCCACACGCCCCGGAGCCCTGCCGGAGCGTGTTCGCCTCTCCGCCCCGCCGCAGGCTCCCTGCCGATCGGCTTCCTCGAGAGGATGCGCGACCTCAAGTCATGCGAGCTCACCAAGGCGCGCACCCCCCCCCCAGCCCTCCCCTCCTCCTCCCCTCAATCGCTCACCCCGCCCCCCCCCCTGGTGCGCAGGCGACGACGGACGCCCTCGAGTGGAACACAAACCACTTCTACTGCGCCGCCGATGTGCACGAGACCTTCGCGTCCTACCCGGCCGCGTGCGTGCCGCTCCAGTACCAGATCTGCGCCGCCGACTACTGGATCGCACAGCTGGCGGGCGCCGCCGTCGGTGCCCTCCCCCGCGCCCGCCCGCCCCGCCCGCTTCGGGACGACCGACCTTGTGCCGGCGGCGTGCAGGCACGCTGCTTGTGCTCGGGCTGCTGGTCTTCTGCGCCAAGAAGGCGCGCGACAACTACATCCGCAAGCGCTCCAAGCTGCTCAACGAGGTCACCTCCACCTCGGCGACCGTCCTCTCCGACCTCTCGGACCGCAAGGCGGGCGCCCCTGTCGTCATCGTCGACGGAAAGTCGATGGGTGAGGCTTGCGCCGTGCGGCAAGGCTGCCCGGGGGTGGGTTCCCCTCACTCCCTCCTCCCTCCGCACACAGGCCTCGCAAAGGCGACCGACTCGTCCGACCCGCGCCACTGCGACGAGTGAGCGGCCTGGCCGCTGCAGGCCGTTTGGGTTTTGTGCGGACCGCGGGCGGGTGGGTGCTCGCACCCCGCGCCGCCACGTATGGGGCTTGGTGGGTGGCTTGGTGGGTGGTGGGGTAGGGGAGGGGAGCGCGGCGCAGAGTTGTCTGCGTAGCCAGGAGAGGGTCTGTAAGGGAGCAGGACCGCCCAGTGTGTGGGGGCTGGGGCGCCGGGACACAGGACGTGCCGGCGTGGGTCAGGGTGGGCGGGGCGGCCGGGGAGATATTCCGGACGGGCTCAATAGATGTAAGATGACAATATACACAGCGTAACACGGCCTCTCATCTTGCATGGCAATACTGTCTGCAATGCTTGCATAGTTTCTTTTTTGAGCGCCCTCACATAAACGATAGAAAGCCAAGCCGTGTCGTGTGCACAGTGCAGCTACGGGGTGTGGACCCCCTGAGTTGACCAGGGGTTGTGCGCTGGGCCCTCCTGCGTCGGCTCCAGCCAGTAGACAAGTCTTGTCATCAACAGAGTAGATGGATCTGACCTCGGGGCCGATGTGACCAAGCGCTGGTAGCGTGGTTTTACCTCACACCCATGGTCTCACAGTGTGCCGGCAGTCGCCGAGCAGTGTCGCTCACACAAGCCGCAGCACAAGTGACTGAGGGCCAGTGAGGGCGAGCCCATCGCTGTCACAGCTGTGGCAGCCGCACAGTAGGCTGTGTCAACTGTGCAGAGTGTGTGAGCAGCAGAGGAGCTGCTCTCCAGGCTTCTGACGCAAAGAGCTGCATGCCATCGAAGGCGCTGTCGAGGTTCGCCGAGCGCGGCGAAATCCGGGGACGCCGCCACCGACGAGCGCGTTGGACTTTTCACTCCGGACAAAGACGGGCACACAGCGGACGGTGCGGGGCGTGTGCCCGTCATAGCGGCGAGGCGCGGGACCGTCTGTGGCGAGGTGGGTCGCGTCCCCGGATTTCCTAACTCAGGGTCCGCTCCCTCAACGCAAGCCAAGCAAACACCGCTTCACAGTGACGAGGCGACTGAACACTCACAGCGGCTGTGTCACAGCACACAGGGGCACTATACACAATCGCGCGGGGCGCCGCTCCGGGGCGACCCCACGGACCCGGCCGCCCTCCGACCGCACTGCCATACTAACTACAACTAGGACGTACGGAGTCCTACTGAGTGAGTACTGTATCCTTCAACAGTAGTATTACAGGAATACAGACACAAGCATTAGAGCTACTGCTATGCGAATTCTTTTATGTGTGCCTGTGTTAGTGCTAGCAAAGAAAGAAAGAACACAGACAGGCCCAGAATTTTTGTGTGAGTGAGTATTCTTGATACGAAACCACGACGACACACACCAGTCGACTCGTATCGGTTGCCTCCATAACGGCGGAGCTATTCTCGCGCCCACACCACACCTGGCTCCAACGTGGACACGCCCATAGCAGGCATAGCTGGGGACACTACTAGGTCACGCATGGCATCAGAAGTTTTATCTCTGGGCCCCGAAAGGCATCTCTAGCAGCGTCGTTACGCATGCGCCCTCCGCATGCGCCCTCCCCTCCTGGGCGCATGCGCCTCACATCTCGCCAGAGCATAAGCTCTCGGTGTGCCAGGAGACGAGCTTTTCGCCATCGCCGCGAGCAGCAAGCCGCCCGCCGCAAACAGCCGGAGGCATCGCCACGGCACTGACTGCGCCGCGGTCCCGCACCCGTCGACGAAGCTCCCCCCGCGGAAGACCGCGCGTAGCGACGCCTTGACGATCGAGATGAGCGCGCTCGAGGCTCGCCCACCTACTGCCCCTGAGAGTTGGTTATGAGTGGGCTCGGCTCCCCCCCTTGGGATCGAAGCTTCCACGACCTCACACCCAACAGCACAGGTGGGATCAGAGAGAGACTCCACACCGGACACCGCCCGGGCACAGACTCCCTACCCATCGGATTGCACAGGGCCCCCTCGGAGCAGCCCACACACAATCACGCATCGGCAGAATTAGTGCGAGTCAGGCAGACAGCACAGACAAGGAGAGGAGAGAGAGGAGAGGAGAGAGAGAGGAGAGGGGAGAGGGTGAGGGTGTGTGCACACGTGTGGAGAGGGAGGGTGTCTGTAGTGGGCTGTAGTCATACTACGTGGTTAAAACCACGCGCCCCTCAGGAGCTAAGGTGAGTGTTTGGGTGTCAAAACACACACACACACACACACACACACCCGCATCATGAATTCTTTGTTCACAGCTCAGCAGTTGTCTGGCGACGCTTGCTTGTGCTGGTGCTCGACCGCCATTACAAATGCTGAGCAACGCCCAAGCCGCCGAGGATTCGCGCGCAGCGGAGGCGCGCGGCATGCACGCGTCTCGCTCTCGCTTTGAGTCACGCAACAGCTCTCAGTTGGCCGCGCGCTTGGCCTCGATGAAAGGCCCGCCGCTGTTCCAGCGCCCGGCTTCGGTGGCTGCGTGCGTCGTGCTGCTACTGATTGGGCTGCTACTGTTTGTCGGCGCCTTGGCGGCCGCCGCCGCACGTGGCCACGGACAATCCTCTGCAGCTCCAGGCGCGCCATCGCCATCCCTGCCACTTGCAACCAAACAGCTCGAGCTGCGGCAGCGCTTTCACTCCAGCACGGCTGGACGGGGGATCGACGTGAGGCACGGCAGCAGGCGCAGGAACCCAACGTCTCATGTTGGAGGTCCGGCGCCTACCGAAGCTCCGAAGGCCGAGGCCAAGGCTGGCCCGCTGATCCGCAGAATATAAGGCGAGACCGGCCCGCATAAGTGTGTTTCACGTGTCTGTCCCCTGTTCAAAATTAAAGACGGGTCCGCCTCCAGTGAGTGGGCAGTGTGCATGCCAATGCATGCCCACAGCCACGACAACCCCCTCCCCATATGCGATATGGGCGCGCACCGAAAAAAAAGGTAAAAGCGCTCCCCGAGCCCTGCACCTAGACTCTAGTACTAGAGGGAGCGGACCGTGAGTTGAGGAAATCCGGGGACGCGACCCACCTCGCCACAGACGGTCCCGCGCCTCGCCGCTAAGACGGGGACACACCCCGCATCGTCCGCTGTGTCCCCGTCTTTGTCCGGAGTGAAAAGTCCAACGCGCTCGTCGGTGACGGCGTCCCCGGATTTCGCCGCGCTCGGCGAACCTCGACAGCGCTTTCGGTGGCATGCAGCTCTTTGCGACAGAAGCCTGGAGAGCAGCTCCTCTGCTGCTCACACACTCTGCACAGTTGACACAGCCTATTGTGCGGCTGCCACAGCTGTGACAGCGATGGGCTCGCCCTCACGGGCCCTCACAGTCACTTGTGCTGCGGCTTGTGTGAGCGACACTGCTCGGCGACTGCCGGCACACTGTGAGACCGTGGGTGTGAGGTAAAACCACGCTTCCAGCGCTTGGTCACATCGGCCCCGAGGTCAGATCCATCTACTCTGTTGATGACAAGACTTGTCTACTGGCTGGAGCCGAGCAGGAGGGCCCAGTGCACAACCCCTGGTCAACTCAGGGTCCACACCCCGTACGTAGGCTAGACGGTAACTACTAGACGGTAACTACTAGCCTAGAGGGTGTGGATGCTGAGTTGACGGAAATCGGGGGACGCGACCCACTTCGCCACAGACGGTCCCGCGCCTCGCCGCTAAGACGGCCACACGACCGCAGCTCGTGTGCGTGTGGCCGTCTCTTTGTCCGGAGTGAAAAGTCCAACACGCTCGTCGGTGGCGGCTTCCCCCGACTGCGCCCCGCGCGCTCGGCGAACCTCGACAGCCTTTGGTGGCATGCAGCTCTTTGCGACAGAAGCCTGGAGAGCAGCTCCTCTCGGCTGCTCACACGCTCTGCACAGCGATAACAGCGATATGGGCTCGCCCTCACTGGCCCTCAGTCACTTGTGCTGCGGCTTGTGTGAGCGACACTGCTCGGCGATGCCGGCACACACTGTGTGAGACCCCGCGGGTGTGAGGTAAAACCACGCTACCAGCGCTTGGTCACATCGGCCCCGAGGTCAGATTCTTCTCTACTCTGTTGATGACAACACTTGTCTACTGGCTGGAGCCGAGCAGGAGGCCCAGCGCACAACCCCTGGTCAACTAGAGCTGTTTAACATTAACTTTGGGCCTAACAGTTGCGCTAGTGTTGGCTGAAATCCTCAACGTTGTTCAAGTGTTCACCCCAGCCCATGCTGCTACTGTTTGTTACTGTTGTTACTGTTGTTCAGCGGCCAGCAAGCAGAAAATGCCAAAAACCCGGGTAAAACCCGAAAATACCTGGGTTTTCCCGGGTATTTTCGGGTATTACCCGCACTGGACGCTGGAGGCCGTCGTGGGTCACTGCCAGGCCTTCCTTATTGTTGTTCAGCCGGCCTAACGTTAGCTACTGTTGTTGGGGAGCCCCACTGCGGCACATGGCACATCGGTCCCACCTAGCTCCTAGGGGATCTGTCTATGCGGTATGTTGAGAAGAGAGCGCTCTCCGGCCTCGCAGGGTGGCCACAACGGAACGGACGTTTACACGCACTGTGCCGGGCACTGTATTACACAGTGCGGTAACACGAGTAAAAACTTAGACCACGTCCTAAGCGAACTGCAGAGAGAGCGAGAGCACGCAATGGCGCCAACGCGCATCAGGATGGGTATCGCCGGTCGTGGCGCCGTCCTCAAACGCATGCCCGAGGAAGAGGCTGCACCCTGCGCAGTAGAGCTCCACCACACTGCAGCTGTAGTGATTGTACGCGCCTTGCGCCACCGCGATCGTGTGAAGGCTGCTGACCTCCAGTGGCGCGCGGAAAGAAGGCCATAAGCAGGGTCCAGTAAACTTGGATGTGTGAGCGTACAGCGCGTGCCCGCAGCGAGCGCAGCTGTAGAGGCCCGGATTGAAGCTGCGCGCGTACTCCTCACCGCTCACGAGGGACGAGATCTGCTCCATGCGCTGCTCAACCTCGGCGTTGATCGGGCAGCGGCTGAGTTCGAAGTAGCCGCTCCGGTCGGTCAGCGAGATCGCGGCCCGGAGAGAGTCTCGCTCTTCCTTCGGCAGCTTGGCGGGAAGCCGGCACGCCATCGCCTGCCACTCCTCTGCGATGGACGCCTTGGGCCCCACGGGCTGCGAAACAGCTCTGAGCAGGTTGGCTGCGCCCAGCTGCGCGCACGCGGCCAACACCACGCCGAGCCCCTCGCCCCGGAAGACATCTGGCTGGAAGGCCTCCACGTCCATGATACCGACCACTTCGCCGCGCCCGCCAAAGATCGGCACGCACGCCTCCGCGCGCACCTGCCCGTCACAGACATAGTACGGCGCATCGCCCGGAAGAGAGAGGACGTCGTGATAGACCACCGCCCGCCCGCTCATGGCCACGGTCGAGTTGTTTGAGCCCTCGGAAAAGGAAGCGGTCAAGGGAAAGTAGGGTCGCGAGGGCGCGCCGACGTAAGCCAGTTTAAGTAGATTGGCCGCACCGTCGTCCCCGCCGAACTCGCTCAAGCCACCGCCGCCGCCGGGCTCGACGACTTGATAAACACCGCACCACTGCGCTGAGGTCCGTTCGGCGACAGCGGCACAGATCGCGCGGAGTGAGCGCAAGCGCCTAAGCGTGTCCTGCTCGCTCGAGCCAGGCACTGCGGCCCGCGCCGCACCGAGGGCGTCAAAGGGTTCGAGTGCCAACTTGCGAGAGCAGGAACCGCCCGCTCGAGGCGGCACGGGGAACTTCCACGACCGCAACGAGTCGTCGTCGGCAACGGTGATGGGCAGCGAGTGGATGTCGAGCGCAGTCTCGTGCCCTGCCAGGCGCTTCGCCAGCTCGTTGCGATTTAGGAGTTCCATGCAATGCACTTCTTAGCCGTGCTGTATCGATGCACGCACAGCCGGACGCCCCGGGGCGCGCAAAGAAATTTCGCAGTTGATCTGTGAGGGTCCGCCCGCAGGCGCATTTTGTATACCGAGGCGGTGCCCGGTATCTAGAAAGATGGGATTTCGATTAAGTTTGGCTCCTACCCACACTCAGCCCTCCCACAGCGCCGGCCGCGCGCGCAAATCTGAAGGAGAAAATGCAGGGCCCCTGCATCGTCCATCGAAACGGTCACGATGCATGAGGACTGCAGCGCGAGGAGGGCATTTAGCCAACTGCTGTGGATTGCGGATACGGAGGAGCAGGACCCGAGAGGCCGAGCGGCTCGGACGCGGACTCTGAAAAACTGCTGAATGGCAATTGGGCGTTCTGGCTGTACATTATAATGTAACACGGTCTGGCCCTCGCCATTCTGATCATTCCTGGGACCCAGGTGGCCGGCCGGGTAAACGGGTATACCCGAGAAATGCCCGGGGTCGCCATGGGTTTGTGGACTGGACTTCAACGGCACCGGCACCGCTCACCCCCCAACTCATAAGGTTCACGAGTTGCTACTGTCAGAGTTGGTCTCCGCCACATCAGTAGCGCTACTGTCATCCGAGCTGTCCGTCCCCACGTCCGTCCCCAGGAACCCATACTGCTCCAGCGGCGACGGTCCCTCTGCGGCTGGCCGTGCCCCGTGCTCGACGAGGAGATTGTATACGACACGCACGCTCCTGATGCTCCGATCACGGTTACGACCGGCAGCTTTGAGCAACCAAAGGTTTCGGACGCAGAGCCAGGAGAGGATGCAGAAGCTCCCCACCTTCAGCTTCAGGTCCGCGCCCTCTGCAAGTGCGCGATGCCATTTTTGCACCCAGCTGGGTCGGCGCGTTTGAATCCGCTCCGCCATGAACCAGAGCGCCGCGGTCGGTCCGAGCTCACGCAGCAGCTTGTGACTCCACGCTCCTTTGTAGCGGATCATCGTGCCGTCGACTTTCTCAGAGCCGAGCCAGACGTAATGGAACCGGGAGAGACGCACGGCGCCGCTACGAGATAGAAACACCAGATCCTTGGTAAGCTCATCGAGCTGCTGCAGATGCAGCCACCCTGCTGCGTCACCAGTTGGCATCCGAATCTCTAGCTGCTCCAGCAGCGGCCACAAAGGCAGAAGCATGAGCAGCCGACCAACGCTCCCAAAGCCGAAGCCGGACACCTCGACCGCCCTCAGCGCGGCAAGCCGAACTGCCCACGACTGCGGCGCCATCAGCGAGGCGTGGCACGATAGCACGCCTTCTGTGTCCCGACCGCCGCCATGCAGGACAAGCTCGCTCAACCCAGACAGGAGCGCGCGGTGGCGGGACGAGCATTCAAAGAAGGAGAGCGCGTCGCACAATCTTTTTTCGCCGGCCCAAAGATACTGGCCTACGAGGTGCAGCACCTCGTCTGGCAGCGCGTCGAAAGAGGTTGCGGTCTCAGCCAAGGGCTCCTCGGCGAGCATGCTCCCAGTGATCCAAGTGTCGCTTGCCACGGTTTCTCTCCAGCCAGAACAAGAAGAAAGCTGGCTTCGCCAGTAGAGCTCTATTGCAATATCGCGGAGAGTGTGCATGCGCTGGTTCACAGTGCGCCTAGATGCCTGGACTGTTGCCCCTGGCTGTTTTTTTGTGAGTTGTGTGTGACACGCTGGCGCGATAACTGGAGAATTTTACAGCAATCCTAGAAATTAAAATCGACCACACCCTCCCGGCGGCAACCGACCCGCCGAACAAAACTCTCTGCCGGGGCGCAGGGCGTGTGTCTATGTCATAGGTTCCCTCAGACTTTAGAGTCATACGAGCCTCTGCGACCAGAACTCAATCACACATTGCCGCCCTCTGAGTTGACAACAGTCAACACGCTACACGGCCCCATCTAGGCGTGCATGCACCAGCTCGCTCTCCGGCTGCACCAAACCGCGATAAGGGCCACAGGTCCGCATGTCCAGAAGAGGAACTCCGTTCCTGCCCCCCCCCCCCCCGCCCGCCCAGCCGCATCGGCACTCCTCTTACATGCTGCCTGGTGGCGCAGGGAGTGCGAGAAGCCGCCGGACAGAAAGTCGGCGGGAGGCGCTTCTAGCGCCTCAACCCACGGGTCTCCAGTGTTCCTTACCCAGAGCTGCGAGGGGGAGTACCTTGGTTTCGGCTGGTGGAAGAGGCTGACGACTGCCGCAACGATCCCAGCTATTGCGAGGCCAACGGCGAGGACGAGCATATAAGCTTGGGAAAGGCGAGAGTCAAGGAGCCGCCCGAAGTTGACATCCAGTACCCGAAGGCGTGAAGAACGAGGTAGATCTCGGCGGCGTCTGCGGTGATCTGGATGATCGCCATCGGGCCACCTCGTAATCCCGGTCATTCTCTCCCAGGAAAGCGAACGCGTAAAACCCCATCATGAAGATGCCGCCGACCGCTCGGGTGTGAGGTCGGTTGGAAGCAAACAAGCTGGAGAGCTCGTCAACGGACCTCGCGGCTCCGGCCAATAAGACTCCCTTCTCGAAATCGAGCAGGTTGTCCACAGCAGGTTGCGCATCAGGTCGTCGCTTACGTCCTCCGCCGCCTCTAGGTACGCCACCCACTCGTTCCTCGCGAATTCGCGCACCTCTGTCGACCAGTTGGCGTACTGCTCACGTGCAGCCGCCTGTTCTCCATCGGCGATGATGCCGTGGAGGATGTCGCTCAGAACGTTTTGCATGTACGGGCGGATGAAGCTGACGGCAAGCGTCGTGTTCATCGCGGATGGATTGTACCGCGCGTGTGCCAGCTCGCTATCCGCGTTGCCCAGCTGGTAGTGAAGCGCGGTCGCAAAGTCCGAGACGTGGACCTCGCAGGAATCTGGGAACTCGTCGCAAAATGGCGGTGGCGCTGGGGGTGGTGGCGGCTGCGGCGGCTGCCGCGGGCTCGGCTGGGGAACGACGCAGCACTCGTCCATCCCTATCGCGCCGTGACCATGGTGCTCGAAAGGGAGAGGGGCCAGCGCAACAAAGCGCTCTCCAAAGTCGTTCGTCCACAGGCAGATATCCTTCTCCACCTCAGCCGCGGTGAAGAAGTAGTTGTCTGGTGCCGCGCGGACCATCGCGCTGCAAAGCACTGCTCCGAGATTTCGAGACATCTGCGACCAGAGATGTGCCATCGGGCGCACTCGGTGCATGTGGCCAGGCACTCAGACGGGTCGGCACCGATTGGCGGCGCGCTCGGAGGGCTCGGAGGGAGTGGCGGGAGCGGTGGCATCCAGAAGTGCGCGTCCCCCTGATGGTGCTCACCGAGAGTCGCGTTCCGAATCTGGACCTTGACCGCGTCACTCCGCGCGTCTTCGCGCGGGCGGAGCGCATGCGCACCCAGGCCGCTCGCGCGCCGTCGCGCAGAGTCGCGCGTTGCTGACGCAAGAGGCCGTGGGCGAGCTGCTCCCACTTGATCGCAAGAGCAGCCGCAGGTGCCGCAGCCTTGTGCTGCAGGAAGTTCTCGAGCCGGCGCGCGCGGCTGGCCTTCGAGCCGGCGCGCGCGGCTGGCCTTGCCGCCGCGCGCACGCCGCTTTGGCGCCGCGGGAGCGATCTTGTTGCTCACCGTCAGCACGCCGCACGCCTCCTCAGAGGCCTTGCCCACCTCTCCAGATGTTCCGAGGACGCCACCCGGCATGGCCGGTCCTGTCGTGGCGTGGAGCCTTGATGACGCTGCGACCGCGTGCAAGCACGAGCCCAGGATCGTGCGTGAGCACGCTCGCAAGGCGGACGGTATGGCAAGGCCAGCTCCGTGGCCGTGGGCTCAGCGAAGAGTACAGCCACCCATTCAAGTCCAAAAAAGAACTCGGTGGGCAAAGCGAAAATCGTTCATGTTGGCCGCGTGGTGAAAATGGAGAGAGCGAAATGGTCCGCGCGACGCACGTTCGAGTCGGCTGGGCAGCTTGGGTCGACTGGAGTCAGCGGGTCGAAGGATTTGCAGCCCGACTCGTAGGTGCAGTAATAGTCGTCGAACATGTCGTCCGAGCGAAAGCTTTCCCCCATCGGCCGGTCGTCGTTGTCACGGTGACCGACTGCAGCGACGCTACTGGGATCCAGGTGGGAAAGTAGTCGTTCGAGAGTCTGCCTGAGAGCGCGAGCGGAGGTGAGGCTGAGGTCGCGACTGTAAGGGCGCGCAATGCAGCCCCCGGTAGAAACGGGTGGCCCACAACGCGTCCGGCATGACGAGCTGTCGACGGAGACTGGGGTCTCAACGCGGAGTCCTGAGTGAGGACCTTCATTGGTGCCGGGAGCGAGTGGGGTTTCAGCCGACGACGCCGCGACGCTGTGAGAGAGAATCAGATACGAAAGGGAAAGTGTGCATGACAGCCGACAGCGCGGTACGCGCCGGGTAGGAATCGACGGCGAGCGCGAGCCACACGTTCCATGCCTTGACACACACTTGTTCCCTAGAGAAAAAAGGAAAGGAAAAGAGACGGGGTGCGAGAGGAAAAGTATATACAGCCTAAGAGGCGGACGCCCAAGGGTGGTCGACGGCTAGCGCACCACACCCCTCTCCTTAAAATCCCTGTGTGGTGGCGGCGTGCCGTCCTCCCATCCCTCCCTTGGGTTGTCCCTTTTCTTTCTTTTTAGGCTCGACACAGGCGCGGACTGGCAGTGGCACGTGCTGGACAGATCCCCCTTTTTCTTTTTTCGGCCACGACGACGCGCACCGGATTTTCAAAAAAGAACAGGACACAGTCTTAATGCTGTCTTTGCATCATCCTGCCTTAGGGCTTTTTGGCCCAGAGTGCGCGTGGGGGGGCGAGAGCGGTGACACCGGCCCGGTGACCGCGGTGACCGGTGTGTGCTGTGTCTGTGAGCGCATGCCTGCGAGCGTGAGATACATTACAATCGCGGTTGTATGTTCTTCACCCCTCTGCCAACCCTCCGGCGGCTCTACCATCTCACTATCCGGTAGTCCTTCCACAGCTTGCCGCGCTGGCGCCACCCCGTGGGGTCGTTGATGTGCGAGAAGACGGGGTCGAGCACGCGCGCCGCGCCGTCCACCTCGTCGAGCGGCGGCGCCACCTGCGTCTCGTGGATGGAAGCGAGCACGCCGACACCGCCCGGCGCCATGTCCGTCACCCAGCCGGTGTCGACCGAGTTGATGAGCACGCGCGCCTGCGCCAAGTCGATGGCGGCCGTGCAGGTCAGCATGTTGAGCGCCGCCTTGGCCATGTTGGTGTGCGGGTGCGACGACTGCTTCTTTGTCACTGAGAATTTGCCCTCGAGCGCGTTCACGTTGACGATGTGCCCCCACCCCGAGGCGGCGTCGGGCGGAGCGAGCAGCCCGCGCAGCCGCGAGCAGAGGATGAAGGGCGCGACGGCATTTGCGGCGACCGTGTGCAGCATCTCCGACGTCCCGATCTGGCCGAGCTTGCGCGACCACGAGTTGATGGGGGAGAGGTCGAGCGGCTGCATCGACTCGTCCAGCCGGTCGGGCGGGAAGTGCTGCCCCAAGCCGCCGCCACTCGCGTGCACGCTCCCGACAGACGCCAGCCGGCTCGACGCGAGCTGTCTGGCGCGCCCGCCGTCCCTGCCCGCGCTCACCAACCCGCACCCCTCGCCGAGTGGACCCTCCTGGACGGGGGCATTGCCTCCCTCGGCGGCGGCATCGCGGCCCTCCCCGCGCGCCTCTGCCGAAGAAGCCGCCGTCAGCAGCTTGCCCGGCGCGGAGGAGGCGGACTCTAGCAGCAGCTGGCGCGAGGCGGGCGGCAAGTCCCGCGCCGCGCCTTCCTCGAGACGGTCCATCGCCTCGAACCACTCGGGCGCGCGCGTGAGCGTCTGCGCCGCGTTGTTGATCAACACGTCGATCCGCTCGAAGCGGGCGTGCAGCGCGTCGCAGAAGCGCTCCGTCACGCCGAGGTCGCACAAGTCGAGCGGCCCGACCACCTCGAGCCGCCCCCTCCACTCCTCAAAGTCGGGCTCGCGACCGTACCGCGCCGCCGCGTCCGCCGGGTATCGCGTGGTCGTGAGCACGTGGCAGCCGCACCGCAGGAGCTTGAGGACGATGTGGAAGCCTACGTCGGAACGCCACTGGGCTGAGGGGACTGGGCCCCGCCCGCCAGGGAGCGGCGCCGCACTGCGCACCGATCCGCACGCGGCCTCCGGTCACCACCGCCACCTTCCCGCTCATCGGCGCAAGCGCGTTCCGCTTTGCAAAGTTGAGGTCCCCGCACCCGACGCAGAGCTGGTGGTAAAAGTGGTGGCCTCCGGCGAGCGCGCTCCCGCAGATGTTGCAGCTCTGCTGGAAGGAGCCGGGAGGGAGCGAGGCGGCGCGGCGCACAGCGTCGATGTCGACTTGCGGCGCGGGAGCAGCCGCAGCCGCAGGCAACGGCGCACGGGCGGCCACGGGCGCGTCGGAGGGTGCGGTTGCGGGTGGCGCCGCTGGCAGCGCGGCGGGAGTGCTCCCTGGCGTATCGAGCAGCGCTGTCGCCGGCTCACCTGCCTGAATGGCCATCCACGACTGGGATCGCTGCGTGTTGATGCCGGCAAATTTGGCCTTTCGCACGTGCCCCTCGTGGACGTCGTTGATCTTCTTGCTAAGCTTCTCGAGCTTCCGCAGCAGCTCCTTGTACTCGGACTGGCTCTTGAGGTGCTCGAGCACGTCGTCGGTCCCAAACGCCTCGCGCAGCACATGCGACCGGAACAGAACGGAACCCACCGCCAGCAGCTCCGCGTGCGGGGCCTCAGCCAGACTCTCTGAAGTCAGCGTGCGCAGGTAGGCGAGGCACTGTTCCATGCAGTCCACGGGCCGATCGTGCGCCAGAAAAAGAAATTTGCTGCGGTTATTTTTCGTAACTGGAAGACTCCCTGGAGTTGCGCAAGGCGAAAGAAGCCGCGAGAACAAGGGACCGGCAGGCGGCGGCGTCGCAGGACGAGGCAGAAGAGAACGACGCGACAGAGGAGGAAGTGACAAGGGAGAGACCGACGAGAGTGGGACGGCCGCGAGGTGGCATGAAGGTTGCAGCGAGAAGCGGCGAGAGACTGCGAAAAGAGATACGAAGAGGCAGACTCCCCAGGGTGGGCGACGGCTAGCGCACCACACTCCTCTCCTTAAAATCCCTGTGTGGTGGCGGCGTGCCGTTCTCCCATCCCTCCCTTGGGTTGTGTGTTTTCTTTCTTTCTTTTTTGGAAGACTCCCTAGGGTGGGCGACGGCTAGCGCACCACACACCTCTCCTTAAAATCCCTGTGTGGTGGCGGCGTGCCGTCCTCCCATCCCTCCCTTGGGTTGTCTGTTTTCTTTCTTTCTTTCTGGAAGAAGAGGGGTTGTGTTCTCTAGGCCCCTAAGGGCCCTACGCGCGGCGTGAGAGCTCGGAAGCGAGCTTTGCACGGCGATCGAGGATGGCGCGGTTCACCCCCTTCACCGAAGCGATGGAGATGCGTTCCGCGTGGTGTGACACAAACGAGAGGCGGGAGTGGGGAGGGTACGCGGTGCGGTCAACGCCCGAGCGTTGAGCCTTGCTGCACAAAATGGGCAGCCACAGCACTAGTAACGGTGAGGAGGATCCAAGGGCCGGTAACCCGGAAGGAGTGGCACGTATCTTCAGCCCCCCATGCCGCAGGGACCCCCCAGTGTTCGCGCTCTGAACCTCGATCCAGGGCCCGACCCCGGGGTTGCATTTTTCTCAATCCACGTGCCTCTACACATCCGTTCACGTGCACGAGCTTCTTGAGCCACCCACCCACTCACCCACCTCACGGCCCGGCTGAGGCTTGGAACCACCCACCCACCCCACCCACCTCACGGCCCGGCTGATGATGCGAGGAAACCCACCCACACCGACCGACCCACCCACACCACCCAACCAACCCTCGAGAACCAACCAACCCTTCGGCCACGGGAGACACAAGCAAGGTAACAAAGCACCCAGCCTCGCGCGCCTTATACAGCACAGCCTGACCCACAGCCGAGGTTTAGGGTTAGGGTTAGGGTTAGGGTTAGGATCAGAGAGTTCAAGCCGTTGTGCAGCTCCTAAGAACGGGCCGCTTCGGGTCGGAATAGAGGAACCAGCGGTCCGTTGACGCGAGCTCTTGGTGAATGCTCCGAGTTCTTTGGGTTAGGGTTAGCGCCAGAAAAAGAAATTCGCTCTCTAGATAGGAAGTCGTAACGGATTTTGGCCCATGCGCATGCTCTTCCTCGTGCTCGCCGCGCGCTCGGGAGCCGGAGTTGTACGGCGCGCCCGACGAGGGCGCCCCTGAGCGAGACAGTTGTGGCTGCAGAGCCAGCCGCCCCTGACTCCGCATGCCCTGGGCGACGGCATCCGGACGGGCGTTGTGACCGGCGGCCGTGCTCTCGACACACGGAAGCCCCCGGCGTTGGTCGGGGTGCACAAGCACGAGCCACGCCGCGGCTCAGCGAGCCCTCCGCAGCGGACTGCGGGGAGTGAGGTGGACGCGGAAGGACTCTACGTTGACATCCATGGCGCAGCCTACACGCCCAAGGGACGGGCGAGCCGCGCCGAGCTCGAGCGGTCGCACCGCGCCGAGCTCGCACGAAGGCACGATTGCAAGACCAAATCGAACTCCTCCGCGAGGGGATCGAGGTATTCAAGCGGAGGGAGCGATCGCGAGCCCAGAGCCCGCAACCCGTGGAGCCCAGCACGAGCACAAGCACAGCAAATCTCAACAACCACCTCGGCGGCGGCGGCGCGCGGACTGCCCGCGCGCCGCCCCGGTGACGATGGGGGCCCCGCCGCAAACCCCGTGCACCACCTTCCCAGCGGGCGAGTCAACCAGCCCCGCGCGGCCGAGCAGCGAGCGCCTCCAAGCGCGGCCGCGTGCATCGCCGGTAGGGAGACCGAGGGGCCGCTCTACGGCGCGGCGGCCCCCGGTGGCGGCGGTCGGGCCGGGCTCGAAGCCATATTCCGCCCGACCCCGCCGCGCGCCTCCCGCAACCCTGGCCCTCACCCGGCCACCCATCGGGAAACCCCCCCGTGACCAGGTCAAGGAGATAATAACGGCCGCCTCTCGTCGTCGAGCTCGGCGGAGACGATGGTCGCCTCGCGTTTGAACCCCTCGAGCTGCTCGAGCGGCGTCGCACTCGTCGAGCGTAACAGCAGTCCGCCCTCGGATGACTTGTTGAGCGCGCCGTAAGCCGCCCGTAAGGCACGCGGCAGCCGTCGGGGAGCGCGATCTAGGTCAGCTGGTGCCGTCGCGTGGGCACGGTGCGAGGAACGACATGCTGTGGCAACGACGAGAGCTGTGCCTCGAAGACGCGCGCCGAAGGAAGGAGAGAGAGAGAAACGACAAAAACGCCCGGCGCCAACTCACCGCCACGAAGGCCACCCACCCACCCCTCGTAGAAGCCTCTCATGGTGGCGGCAGTCACAGCTTGGTGGCGTTCCGGTGGCTCATCCCAGCCTTCCAGCAGTCACAGCGTCACGACGCCGCGCGCTCCGCCGCTGCCGATGGGATTGCTCGTTCCCGGCCACTGGTACTGCCCCACGGCCGCCGACTATGCCTCACAAATACAAGCAAAGGTTGGATCGACGTCGCTCAAGGCCTGGGATGCGCTCCACCAGGACGGCAACGGCAACTTCTCGCAGGCCTTTCCCTACCTGGGCAGCAAGGTCACCCTGACTGGCCCTCCCGGCGCCGACGGCACGCGGCCTTTGCGCGTCGTTGAGACCCGGCGGTGCGAGAGCAGCGCCGAGCTCCGCCGCCGCTGGAGATTTGCTCTGATCCGCCACCCTCTGCGGCGGCTCGCGTCGGCCTACCACGACAAGGTCGTCATCGAGCGCTGCATCTACGAGCCGTTCAAGTGGGTGTGCGGGCTGCCGCCCGAGCGGCGGTGGCGAGCCTTCGTGGGCGAGGTGGTCGCGGGCCGCTTCCGCGACGTGCACGTGATCAGCCAGGCGGACGGCCTGCTCGGCAGCCACGTGCACACGCGGGAGATGCCGCTCCACGCGCTCATCCGCATCGAGCAGCTCGACGCGTGGTGGCCGTATGTGCTCAAGTGCAGCCGCTACCGGGGCAGCGCCTCGGAGGGCGCGCTGCTGCACGCAAACAGCAAGCCGGCAAACTACTCGGAGTACTTTCAGGACAAGGAGCTCCTCGCGCAGCTCATGCAGCACTCCCTGCGCGAGGAGCGGTGGTTTGGCTACTCGGCCGTGGAGGTGGCGAGCAGTCCGGCCGTGGCGCAGGCGGCGGCAGAGCTGCAGCGCCACCGCTGGTCCACCGGCGACTGGAGCCGCCACACGCCCCCGTCGCCCCTGCCGCCCGTGCACGACGACCCTCCCGCGGACAAGGGCCGGTGCGTTGGCAGCCGGCCGCTGCACCCGGGGAGCGTCCCGTCGAGCGGTGGCGCGAGAGTCTGAGCAGTGCGGGTAACCGGCTGACGTGAGGACGCGCTCGGCCATTGCCGCCTTCTTATTATGTGTTCGTGCCAGCACGGGCCAGTCCTCTCTGCTGTGCTTGTGGGTCTCAGACCGAGTGTCTTTATTAAATCCTCGAGGGATAATTTACCTATTATCGAAAGAAAGAAAGAAAAAACCCAAGAGAGGGGTTGGAGGGCGGGAGAATCCAAAAAAGCCGTCCAAAAAGCCACAAAAACCCAGCGAGCCTCCCGTTACGCGATTGCCGCGAAGCGCAGCATGATGCGTGGCCAGCTTGGGAGGCTGCCGCCGCTGTCAGAGGCGGCCGCCACTGCGAGGTCTCGAGGGCCGACCGGCCGGGCGAGCATCCGCGCTGCCGACGACGTGCTCGAGGCTGACCTTCAGAGCGACGAGATTCTCGCATGCTTTGAGGAGGCGCTCGGCGAACGGCAGCCAGAGATGGGAACGGATGCTGCAGCAGGGCGAGAGGCGAACGCCGAGAGTGCGGAGGCCGCACCGCGACTCGAGGCTGCAGCAGAGCAGCAGCGAAACCGCTTCGCTCGCGCGGGAGACGGCGCGTTTAGCCGCGAACGGGGCCATGCCAGACGAGTCGCCTGCGGCCGGGACGCCAGCCGAGACGGGTGCGGCGGCGGCGCCCGCGGTACAAGCCGGCGCGGCGGGCGCTGGGAGCCTATGCACAGAGGGCTAACGGATATTTTTTCGCTTCGCTGCGCGGCCTGGGAATAGGTAGGTAGGTGGGGCACGGAGCCTGGCGGTCGGCGCCCGCAAAAACCGGGCCCAAACCGGCATCGCTTGCCGCTTTTCTTCTTTTCTCCCGCGCGAGAAAAAGGCGCCAGGCGCGAGGAGGATGCGCCTCGCTGCCTCGCTTCTGCGCAAGAGCCTCGGAAGCCAGCAGCAGGCGGTGCCGCTGCCCGACGGCGCGGCCTGGAAGCCTCAGTGGGTTGCTGCGGACGATCAGCTCCTCGGCGAGGCTCTCCTCCTCATCTCTAGCAGCAGCCTCGCAACTGATGAGCTCTCGGCCGAAGAGTTTGAGGAGCTTGTGGATTACTTCAAGGCAAAGCAGGCGCACCGCTCGCAGGACGAGATCAAACGGCGGATGACCGTGCTCGAGGCCGCCTTTGGCGGCGGCAGGCAGGACTTTGATGCGTTTCGGCAGGCGGCCACGCAGGCCGCCGCGGCAGAGCCGCCGAGAAAGCCGGCGGCGGTGGGGAAGAAGGCGGCGGCAAAGCGGGCTGCGTCGCCGGAGCCAATGATCTCGCCTGCCAGCACGGACGCCGCGCTGCCTCCGGCCAAGAAGGTGCGTGCGGCGGCCTCGGGAGGGCCCGCGAGTGCCAAGAAGGGAGGCAAGGCGGGAGGCGAGGCCAAGGGCAAGGCGGGGGGCAAGGCGGGGGCCAAGGCGGGGGCCAAGGCGGCGGAGGAGAGGGAGACGGCGACCAAGGCCGCCGCGCCGATCGCCGTGGAGCGCAGCACCGGCCGCGTCCGCACCGCCGTGCAGCGGCTCGGAGTCGGCGACGGCTTCCTTCTCGGCAGAGCGAGCGACTGGACGGGAGGCAGTCGCTCGCAGCCGGAGGCGACCCCGTCCGCGTCCGCAGCGCCGGCCAGTAATGCGTCGCGGAAGCAGGCCGCGGCACAGCGGGGGCGAGCGCAGCTGCCGCGCCGCCCGACGGTCGACGAGGTGGCGGCATGCGGCGCGGCGGCGGAGGCGGCGGCGGAGGCGGCGGCGGAGGCGGCGGCGGAGGCGGCCACAGAGGCGGCGGCGGCTCCCCAGTGGCAGAGCCCGCCTCGCGCCGCGGGGAAGGGGGCCCGAAGCCCGGCCGGCGGCAGGTCGGCGCGGGCGGGACGCGGAGCGGGAGGCGCCGGTTCGAGCAGCCCCCCTCCTACGCCGGCGTCGATGGAGGTGGAGGAGGCGGAGCTACGGGAGGCGATCAGCGAGGCGGCCTCCGCGGCGGTGCGGGCTCCTTCGGCCTGGTCGCCGGGGGCGCGCCCTCGCTCCGCGGTCTCCGGCAGCGCCGCCGACGCCGCCGACGCCCCTCCGACTGCCTCTGTTCCGACGGCGGCGCCGCTGCGCGACGAGGACGGCTTCCCACTCGAGCCAGAGCAGGTGGCGCCGCTGCTGCGAGCGGCGCGGCGAGGCGCGTACGCGCGGCTCCTCGCGCCCGCCGCCGAGTCGGGCCTCCTCTCGCACTTGCACGCCGCGGCGCGCGACGACTTGCGCGAGATCCTGCTGCGCACCGCGGGCGGCCTCGAGAACTCGACGGCGCTGCTGCTCGGGCCTCGCGGCGCCGGCAAGCACCGCGTGCTGTGCGAGACGCTGGCGGAGCTGCGCGGCAAGAGCGGCGCCGCGGGCGCGGACTTCCTCGTCGTCGACGTGTCCGCGGTGCTGATGACGGACGAGGTGTCCACCCTGATGGGCATCGCCGCGCAGCTCAACCTGACGGCGCAGATCCACATGAGGAGGTTCGGCTCGTTCGCCGACGGGCTGAGGCACATGCTGCACTTGCTGCGGCGCTCGCGGCCCGGCTCGCAGGGCGAGGGGCAACGGGAGGGGCAGGCGCAGCCGGTGTGCTTTGTGCTGCACAACTTCGAGGACTTTGCGCTCCGCCCAAAGCAAACCCTCCTCTACTCGCTCTTTGACCTCTGCCAGACGGACGACGCGCAGATGGCCGTCATCGGGCTCACCTCGCGCGTCGACGCGCTCGACCTGCTCGAGAAGCGGGTCCGCTCGCGCTTCTCGGGCCGGCAGCTCGCCCTCTCCTACCTCCCGACCGTCGCCGACGCGACCTCCCTCCTCCGCCGCGCGCTGAGCGAGCCCGTCCCCGCCGAGGCGAAGAGCGTCGACGGCCGCCTCGTGCGCCCCTTCCACGGCGCGTGGGCGAGTGCGGTCGACGAGCTGTGCGCCGCCCTCGAGGCCTCGCCCACCCTCGAGCGGCTCCTCTGGCACGGCCTCACCCCGCGCACCCTCCTCGCCGGCCTCAAGCTCCACCTCGCCGCCCTCAGCCCCGCGGCGCCGCTGCCGACCGCCGACGGCGTCGAGGCGGCGCTCGCCCGAGAGCTCCCTCTCCCGGTGGCGGAGGCGCTGCTCCCCGAGCTCTCCGTCGTCGAGCTCCTCCTCCTCCTCTGCCTCCAGCGCCGTCTCGACACGGACGCGCCGCCGCCGCACACGCTGCGCGCCGTGCTCCGCGAGTACCACCAGTTCCTCGCCGACGCGCCAGAGGCGGCGGCGCAGTACGGGCTGCCGCTCCCTCCCCTGACCAAGGCCTTCGAGCACCTCCTCGCCCTCGGCCTCGTCGCGGCCGACCGGCGCTCCCCCGCCGGCGCCGCGCCGTCGGCCGTCGCCGCGCGCGCGGCCGCGGCCGGGACGAGCGCGCTGTCGCTCGACAGCCCGGCGCTGGTGCTCCGGCTGTCGCCGCGCGCGCTCGAGTGCTACGTACGCGACGCGGCCGTCCTCCCGACGCACGTGCGCCGCTTCGGCGTCTCTTGGCTCAAGTGAGCGGGAGGGGCGTCGGCGGGGGAGGGGAGGGGGGCGGGGCCAGGTCGGCCAGGTCCACTCTATCTACCATGTCCACGATGGCTTTCGCGTTGCACTGATCGACATCGATGTAGCAAAACGTGAGTGCAACGAGACAAGTATAGATGGTAATGTTCTGTCGTAATGAGTGCGCAGACACCGCTTTGACCTTATTTGTGGGATGCGCCGGACTGTGTGGACTGTGTGTCAGCACATCTCCGAGCTCGAGCATGTGAGTCGTGGCCTTGGAGCGGCTGCGGGGAGCACTTGGAGCACTTGGAGTGCAGCCAGCAACCGCACATCCAGGGCCGGGGAGCTAAGAAGCGCACCAGCCGCCTCTTAAAAATAATTCTTTTCAGGCCTTTTGGCGTCAGGCTTTCACTCACGTGCCTGACGCCCGAGCCGATATGAAGGCCGCCTCCCTCCTCGCGTCTGCGCACGCGGCGGCCAACAAAGCCGCCAACAAGGCGCTCGAGCATGCCATGCCCACTCCCAGCTTCTCCATCGCCGACTTGGTCGACGAGGTCAGATCCCTCCGCGAGCAGAAGGCCGCGCTCGAAGGCGAAAAGTCTCTGCTCGAGTCGCACGTCGGCTTGCTGTCGCAGCAGCTAATGCTTCCGCCGGGCGAGCGAACCGTGACCGAGGCGCCCGACACCGGTGCGTCAAAGCCGCCAAAGTCACCGGATGCCGAGAGCGCAGAGCCGTCGGACGAGAGCAGCGTCGAGCAGCTCTCGGCTGTGCGCGCCGCCCTCGACGCTGAGGCAGACGCGGGCATCGCGGCGACTCTCGCGCTGGGCTCAGAGATTCGCGCCGCCGAGGCGGACGCCGAGGCCTCGCGCCGCCGCGTCGCGAGCGCCGAGGAGGAGCTGCGGCGCAGCGTCGAAGAGCTTGAGGCGGAGCTCGAGCGGCTCGCGGCGCGTGAGCGGCGCGCCGTCGCTTCAGCGGTGAGCGCGGAACGCAGGCGCGCGGCGCAGGCGACGGCCAGTCTCGAGGAGGCGCTCGGCGCGGCGCAGGACGCGCTGGCTCGGCGCGAGGAGGCACTAGATCTCGACGGCGGAGGCGGGTATGGAGGCGGGTACGGCGGAGGCGGCGGCGTGGACCAGGAGCGTCAGCTACGCGCCGAGTGGATGGCAAAGTGCGAGCACCACCGCGCGCGCAGCACCGCGCTGCAGGAGGAGGTGGCGGCACTACGGGCTGCGCACGATGACGAGCTGCGGCGAGAGCGATCGCGCGCCGAGGGCGCTGAAGGGAGGCTTGCGCAGGCGGAGGCGGCGGCGCGGGCGGCGGGAGCGACACGCGCGCAGGCGGAGCGGCAGGCTGCGCAGCTGTCGTTGGATTTCAACGCGCAAGTGCACGAGCTCGCCCTGCTGCGGCAGCGCGCCGAGAGGGCGGAGCAGCAACTGTCGCGCCACACGGTGGAGAAGTGCACCGCACGGCAGTGGATCGTCAACTTCGTTGAGAACGAGGCGGCGAGGCCGGAGCTGCTCCGGCTGATGGCGACGTGGTGGGAATTTAGCGAGGAGGACTTGGTCCGGGTCGGCTTGCGAGCCGAAGCGCTGCCGCCGTCGCCTTTCCGACGTCCCTCTGACGGCTCGCTGCTCGATGCATTCGAGAGCTTCCTGACTCGGGAGTCTGGCGTGGAATAGAACTAGACGTTACCTCCCGCCACACCTCTTAAAAGATCGCCTGAACTACTGAGCGCTGAGCCGTATATTAAGAGAGAGTCTCGTTTCGCTCGCAGAGGTAACACAGAGCGCGCGAGAGGTGAGGCGGTAAAGTCTGAGAAGACGGGGGCCCACCGCCCCCACGGCGGCCGTCGGGGCACGGCGCACGGGCAGCGGCACGGCCGCGCCACGCGCTCGACCTCGAGCCGATTTGTTTCGCCGTCACCAGCCGGCGACGTCGCTCACCTTTCTGCTTTCAGGCCCCTCACCACATGCCCTTGCCGGAGTTCTTATCCATGAAGGCCTTCACCTCGGAGCGAGTGGCCCATGGGGGTACCAGCCCCTTGCCAGCCAACAGCGCGTGCGGGATGTCAATGGCCTGCTGGCGATCGCGGATGCCGCGCAGGATGCACTTGAAGGTCTCCTCGATGCTGAGAGCAAAGCATGCCCACAGAATGATGCCGAAGAAGATCGTGCCTGGGAGAGCGATCATGTCGCAGATGACGTTGAAGCCTGGCACAAAGATGAGGAAAACGGTGATGCTCATGCACGGGACCCACAGCATGTAGAAGACGCCGTTGCGCTGTCCGGGGCCGTCGGGACCATCGCGCGGCTCAACCCAGAATGGCGCCTCACCGCGAACGCCCAGAAGCCGGAAGAGCTCGACAAAGACAAAGAGCATGAAGCCCGCCGCGTTGGAGCGCTTCACGCCGAATCCCTCGCAAGAGAAGTATGGGGACATCGTCGGCTTGTCCTCGCCCGTCCAGCAATACTCGAGCTGCCCCTCGTCCTGCTCTGTGCACGGCTTCAGCACCTCCACGCCGCCGTACGTGAAGGTCACACCGCTTGCAGGGTCGCCCTCGTAAGACCAGCTCTTGCCCTCGAAGTTGTCCTCCTTGGGGTAGAGGTTGCCCGTCGTGCCGCGGTACTCAAAGTCGTAGTGGCCGACGTCCGCCAAGTCGTAGGCGGCGTTGTCCTCGGGCACGTACCCAAACTCCGAGATGTCGGCTGCCGACCCCCACTGTTCGACGCCCGGGATGGAGAAGCCAAAGCCATCCTCGCCGAAGGCGAAGGCCTTCGGGCACTTGCAGTAGAAAGCCCGCTCCTCCGGCAGGCCATCCTCTCCGCGCGCGCGCAAGCAGGGGATGTCGCCACCCGCAAAGACGGTCTTAAACGAGTCCGATTCCTCGAGGTGCGTCCCGCTGGACAGGGTTCCCTACAGGCAGGGACGACGTCAGCTGGGCTGGGGCTGGGCACAGCCCCTCGCTCTGCGTCGCGCACCATGTGGCTGTGATAGACGAACCAGAAGGCTCCCGGCACGAGCAGCTGGTAGTAGGCCAGGAAGGGAAGGAAGCGCAAGTAGAAGGCCAAGTCTGAGATGACGAAGCCTACCGCCTTCTTGCGCGGCGGAATCTTCATCTGATAAGACTCGCCCTCTTCCCACGCGATCGATAGGGACGGGATGTCGTGCGTGAAGTTCTTGGCAAAGAGCGCTGGCAGGTTGTTGATGGGCTTTGGCAGCCCGCAGAAGGTGCACGTGGAAAACATGAATCCCTCTGCCGCCTTCACGCCGAGGTAGAAGAGCAGGTACTTTTGCAAGTTACCAAAGATCTTACGGCCCTCCTGCACGGCGGCGACGATGGTCGTGAAGTTGTCATCCATCAGGACGACATCGGCGGCGCCCTTGGCGACGCTCGTGCCCGCGATGCCCATAGCAGTACCGATGTCGGCGATCTTGAGCGCGGCGGCGTCGTTCACGCCGTCCCCAGTCATGGCCGCGACGTGGCCCTGGCGCTGCAGCGTCTCGACAATAGCCACCTTGTCGGTCGGCTGGGCACGCGCCCACGTGACAGTCTGGCCCACCATCTCGCTCATGCGTGCCAGCTCGGCGAGCTCGATGCTAGTGATCGGCTTGCCCTTTTCGGGCGTGCCGAGGACGGGCGATTCGGTGGGCTGCTTCGGGTCGCGGTGCAGGTCCGCGCACTCCCTGGTCTTGGCGAGGGCCTGCGAGTCGGATGCGTCGCCGCTGATGATCGAGATGTTGCGCGAGATGGCCATCGCAGTCGCCTTCTGGTCGCCGGTAATCATCACCACCGACACGCCCGCCTTCTGCACGAGCTCGACGGACTCCTTGACGCCGTCGCGCGGCGGGTCCTTGAGGCCCATCATTGCGGTGAAGGTGAGCGGGTAGGTCGTGTTGCCCTCGAGCAGGTAGGTGAGCCGCTCGTCGCCGTCCTCCATCTTGCCGAGCGCCTCCGCCTCGGCGGCGGTCAGCGGGCGCATCGCGACGAGGATGACGCGAAGCGCCTTGTCGGCAAAGTCCTTGTTGGCCTGCTTGAAAAGGGACTGGGCGTCGGGCGTCTCGTTCTTCGCGCCGCTCGTAATTTTGAGCGTGCGTGCGTCGCCCATCTCATTCTTCTCCGGGCAAGTCGGCACTGCGTGCACGTACGGCATCAGCCGGTCCGGTGCGCCCTTGAGGATGGCCATGTGCGTGGCACCAGGGACGATCACCATCCCGCTGGCATAGAAGCCCTCGCCCTTGCCACTGGGACAGTGCGGTAGAGCAGGGAGTGAGAGGCTAACTCGCATGTGGGAGTGCTCTCCAACCTCTCCTTATGTTGCGTGCCGCCGGTCCTCTCTCTCTCTCACACACACACACACACACACTCACCTGAGCTCGTGGACAGTGCCCATCATCTTGCGAGAGCTGGTAAAAGGGACGCCGAGGTGGTGGACAGAGGGGTACTTGTCGCGCATGGCCGGGAACTTGGCCTCGGGCAGCCCCTTCTTGTTCGGATCGTAGATCTGCCCCTTGGCTGCCGCGACAACGAGCGCCTTCTCGGTCATATTTCCAACCCCCTTCCACTTTTGGGGCACGTCCTTGCCCACGTCACCCTCGTCGTCCAGCTCGAAAGCGGCGCCGTCGCAGTTGAGGTAAGCGGAGAGGAGCGCGCAGTGCACGTCGGCTGCCTTCTCGCAGCCGTTGCCTCCGCCAGCAGGCCCGGTGCTCATGCGAGACGCAGCCGCCGACACGCGCAGGCTGGCCGCCGTCTTGCGCGATGCCGCCCCGCCGACGGTCGATGCTCCTTCCGCCAGCACAAAGACACCTCCGCGCGGGTCGAAGCCGCGGGTCGGCCTGAAGTCCCAGCAGTTGACTTGGCACTTGCCCTTGACGTTGATGACGGTGGCCATCTCGGTTGCCGTCATCTCGCCCTCCGTGAGGGTGCCAGTCTTGTCGGAGCAGATGACGGTGCAGGAGCCGAGGGTCTCGACGGCGGTGACCTTCGTCACGCGAGCGTTGATCTTTGCCAGGATCAGGGCGCCGCGGGTGAGCGACGTGGTCACCATGAGAAGCAGCGTCGTCGGTAGCATGATGGTCCCGATGGAGAGCGCCGAGAACAGCGCGTCGATCATCTCGTCCATCGGGCAGGTGGAGAGGCCGCCCGGGTACTTGTCCTTGGTGCAGTAGTTGACGGTCACCTCGTACCAGGTCATCATGATGATGAGGATGACCGAGATACAAATGATGACGCCGCCGATCGTGTCCATGAGCTTCTGCAGCTGCGACCTACCAGAATCTTGGCCCTTGAGCCGCGCCGCGATCTTGCCGATCTCGGTCTCGAGGCCCGTGCGGATGACGACGGCCTCTCCTTTGCCGCCGACGACAGCGGTGGAGGAGTAGACGAGGTTGTCGTGGAAGGAGGCGGTCGGGTCGTCCGCTGCTTCGAGCTTCTTCGTCTTCTCGTGCGGCTCGCCCGTCAGGGTCTTCTCGACGGTCTGCAAGTCCTCCGACATGACCACCCGCGCGTCAGCCGGGACGGTATCGCCCGAACGCATAATAATGACGTCGCCAGGGACGATGTCGGGCACCTCGATCTGACACTCCTTGCCGTCGCGGCGCACCGTCGTCATCTGAGCTCCCTCCTTGAGCAGCTCGGCGAGCGCATTGGCGGTATTGTACTGCCCACGCGCATTGAGGATGGTGACGACGAGGATCACGGTCGTCACAACGGTGATCTTAACACAGTTCTTGATCTTCGGGTGGCCATGGGATGCAATATCGCGCTGAATGTTTAGCACGGTGAGGATGAACAGGGTAAAGAGGATCAGAATCAGCGGTTGGTAGAGCTGGCGGCAGTAGATGACCCAAAAGGGCGTCGGCTTGTCGGTGCCCAGCTCGTTGGCTCCAAATTTTTTGAGGTTGCGCGTCACTTGGCTGGACGTGAGGCCGGTCTTTGTCGACTCGCAGCCAAACTCGTCGCACACCTCCTCCAGCGGCTTGAGATGGTAGCCCTCCTTGTTGAACTGCATCGACACCTCCCGCGCGATAGCCTTGACCTGCTTGCGGTTGCTCTTCCGCACCTCCTCCACCTGCTCGGCGTAGGTCATGTGCGGCGCCATGGCCTGCCTGATGGCATCGCGCATGGGCTCCTCGAGCAGGTGGTGCTTTGCTCCCTGCATGATTCCGCTCGCTGACTCAGTGCCGCTGTCCCAGGCCTTTGAAAGCGTGTGCAACACCGCATCCTTACGCGGCGCATGGGCTGGAGTCTCCATCTTGCGCTCGGGTCACTGACGCGGGAGGGAGAAGTGGGCGAGTGAGAAGCGGCAATGCGGATATGGGCAGGGTTAGCGAAAAGGGCCAGCGGGGTCACCAGCCCCAGCGCGTTGGAGCCCCCGCCGACGTGCGTCCTCCAATGCCGATGACAAGATCCGTCGGCCCGGGGGAACGGTCCCCCATTTGTACTGCGCTGGATTTTTAATGTAGTACCAGTGCTTACTGGAGAAAAGCAAAAACAGGACCTAGGCCTGGAGTGCCTTACGCTCTCTCAATGTACACGTTCTGGGTGTGATTTGTTTGGGTGGAATCAACAGATTGCGCTTAGTTAGGCACTCACTCGCGAACTGATGATTGTTGCTCACGGGAGACTCAGACTCAAGTCCTCCTCCGATGGGGGGCACACGACTCGCGAGATACATAGGGTGGCGCTGGGGGGCGGGCTCTCTGCTCCCCGAAGACTCCACCTCCAGCCGGCGGCCCGCGGCTGCCGTTGATCACGCTTTTTCCACGGGCCGTGTGGAGCGAAATCATTTCTGTTGCATGTTCGTCTTCGGAAGTGTGTGTGAGCTCAGCTGTGACCTGTGATTTGTGAAGGATCGGCTCGCAGCTCGCGGCCAGATTTTGTACCTAGGTACTCTATCCCTCTGAGCTCTGTGTGTCGGAAGCGCGTGGCCGTGGGACGGTGTGTGGGAGACGGAGACGGGAGAGCGGGCGGAGAGGCTGGGAGGGTCAGGGACCGGCGCTCGATCTGTGTGTGTGTGTGTGACTGTGTATGTGTTGCGCGTGTGGGTGTGCCGTGTGCGCCTTGTCGTAAGATGAGAGAAGTGTGTGTGAAGAGAGAGCGAGAGACACAGATTTTGTGTATACTCCTCCTGCCACACACACATACAGGTGTGCACAGACACACACACACCACACAGCAGCCTCCACCTACCTACGGCCGCCGACATGCACCTCGCGTCACGCACCCTCCTGATTCGCAGTGCAGCGTCAGCCCTCGTCCGACGAGCCTACGGGGCGTCGAGCTGAAGATCCCACGGCAACGAGGCGGGGCTGCGGGCCGCTCTTCTGGCGGGCCCAGCAAGCGCGCGGCGAACGACGAAGCGATTCTCTGGCCGTAGGGTATATACGAGAGGACGTACCACGCCTGAGGCGGGCAATAGGGCGAGATGACGGCGATGGACCCGCCATGCCGACCCTCTGTCCCGCTCGCCATTGCGGCAAACTGCACGATGACGCTCACGAGCACAAGCAGCGCGTTCTGCAAACCGACCGCACCTACAGAGACGCCTTCCCTCGGAACGGGCGGGCTGGTGAGCGGCGGCGCCGTGGCCCTTCCGCACTGACGAGCGTCGCCACCATCGCACCGATGTAGACCAGCGCCGAGGCGGCCCGGGTCGGGTGGCTCATGTTCTTGATCTGCCGCTTTGGGCCGAGAATGAAGCCTGTCGACAGGAGAGAGAGCACGTTGCCGAGCGTGTACCTGACGAGGAGGGCGCGGGGCCTGTCAACTAGCGCGCCGGACTGCGCCCAGACGCCGCAAGCGCACTTCACGGCAAACGGGCCTGGCCTGCCACCGATCAGCTGCGCGACGGAAAAGACCGATGTGATCGAGATTGCGACGCTGATGCAGAAGCAGATGGCAAATGCGTATAGTCGCTGCTGGAAAGTCATGCTCGGACAGACCTGGTCGACCAGCTCCTCGCGCGCTGTTGGAGGCCCCACGCCGGCGGCCTGCCGCGCACGGTCCCACAGCGACGGCGAGGGTGGCACGCCATCAAAGGTGCGCGGCGCCTCAGCGTCGTGAGCGACGTAGTTCTGTGACCGAAGCTGATCGACGAGCTTGCCAAAGGCAGACATTCCCTGACCGTCCGGTCGTCAGTCAGTAGGTCTTTTCACGGGCAGGGAGGCGCTCTCGCTCTCGCCGTATTACGCCGAGGGCGGCGAAAGTAGAAAAACGGCGGCGCCAAACAAGAATTTCCGATGGTAGCTCTTACGAACATACCCGTAGGTGAACTGCTGACAGGGTTTGCGATGAGGAGCGATCCGAACGTGGTATTCGGGTGATTAGATCACTACCGCCGAAGCGCAAGCGCTTGGAGCAAGGGAACTGCCACGTATGGGTCCCAGACTAGCACCCCACCTCGCGGGCCGACGTTCTGGCCCAGCAAGGCTGCTGCGGAGCACTCGGGGCCGATGTTCTGGCCCAGCGAGGCCGCTGCGGGGCACCCGGCGGCTCGGTTCGCTCATCAGCGCAAACTCGGTCGAGCAGAAAGTAAGGTGTGTGTGTAAAGGCGGCGCGGCACGGTAAGGGTCGGCGGTAAGGCGGCGCGGCGGCAGCAGACGGCAGGCAGGACATCGGACGGCGGGACATACGGCGCGGCGGGCGCGGCACTGTGGGAGCGGCGGTACGGCGGCACGGCGGTAACGGACGGCAGGGGGTACGGCGGAGCAGTAATAATATCGTTGGCCGAGAATTTCGCCTGGACAGGGTGGAAAGTGTCCGCTACAACACGGGAGGGAGGAAGGTAAAAGAAAAAGCAGCGCCCGATGACGCGCGTGACGTACTCGATGAAGGTCGCTTTGCTGCTAGCGACGCTGCCGCGCGCGACGGCCGCGCCGGTGGGGCGCGGCGGCGCCTCGGCAAACGAGTGCAACCCGTCTCGCGGGTGCACCGTCTGCGACTCCTGCTGCTCCGAGTACATCACTCTTCCGGTGCTGTGCGACAAATGCGTGGCGGATCACTGCCACCGTGGCTCTCTGCGTGACAGCGAATACGAGGAGAGGGAATACGCTTCCAGCCTGGGCTTCTGCTCTGACCAAAACCCGGCCTGCTCCGGCTGGGCCAAGCAGGGAGAGTGCCAAGGCCCTAATGCGGCGTGGCTAGCGGTGAGCTCTTGCCGCTTTAGAGCAGGACACTGCAGTTTGCTCGAGGCAGTTCGTTCTCGTAAGAAGGAATTAACTTTCCTAGGTGCACTGCCCGCTGTCGTGCGGAAGCTGTAGCCACCGCTGCGCTGACATGCACGATGACTGCGCGCAATGGGCGCGGCGCGGCGAGTGTCAGACGAATGCAGAGACCATGGTCCGCAACTGCCCAACCTCTTGTGGCATCTGCACCCCCACCTGCAAGGACATGATGCAGAGTTGCGTCCGCTGGGCGGCGGAGGGCGCGTGCAGTGACAACTCCAGTTACATGCTTAAACTATGCCCTGTCGCCTGCGGCGTGTGCGACCTCGAGTGCAAGGCGCGCCGCCTGACGCCGCACACCTGCCGCCGCCAGCCCGACTAAAGAATTGAGGTGTGGGCGCAGGATCAGCGAACTGACTGCCCTGGGTGGGCTGCTGCCGGCGAATGCGAGAGGAATCCCGGAGCCGTCCTCCCGTCCTGCCCAGACTCATGCGACGTGTGCGGCGCTCGCCACTGCGCCGACACCAACGCGACTCTCTGCTCAGAACTCGGGGCACAGGCGCTCCTCAACAGTAATTCAGAGGGAGCCGCGCAGCCCGTGCCTCTTCAGCCACCGCGGCCTCAACATAGGCCTGCATGGCCGATCCAAAGACTGTGCTGCCGCTGTGCCCTCGCACGTGTGGCATCTGCTCGGCGGTTTGCTACGACCGGGACGAGGCGTGTCAAGAGTGGGCAGCGGCCGGACGTTGCTCGGAGAAGGGAATGCTCAAGCAGTGTCCGCAGGCAAGCCATCCCGGGGGATCCTCCCCGCCTCACTCACTGGACATTGCGTCCCACTCACTGGTTACTGCGCACGTCGGTTTACAGAGCTGCTCGATTTGCAACGAGCTCGAGAGCTTCAAGAAGGGGATACCTCGCGGCGATATACAGTACGATGAGCTCTGACGCTGGCTATGGACTGTGCGAGAGGCGCTCGCCTGTATCATTTTATGTGTGCGAGTTGCATGTATACAGTGGTGAGATGGTGCTGCGTGTGCTGCGTGTTGCTGTTTCGGGGTGTGGTGTGTGCGGGATTTTTGTCAAGTTTCGAGGGAGAGGGTGTCTTTGGGGCCTGTGAGTGTGCTGGAGCGTACTGACGCGGGAGTAGATGCTTAGCTGTGCGAGGGGTGCCTGGGTGGAGGTGCGTTTTCCTTTTGCATTTTGGCCGAGAGGGGATTTGTCTTCCCGCGCGCGAGACACAAAGAGAGACAGAGAGAGAGAACCCTGCACAAAAAGAGCACATGGGCGGGGACTGGCTCCTGTTTACCCATCTCCTAGTAGAGGTGTCAGTTTTATCTATTTATTTAGTTCTCGATCTCGATGACGATCGTGTGCTCCGCCTCTCTCCAGTCCGCACATTAATGCGCCCACACACCGGCGACTGGGACCACAGCACTCTCAAAAGTCTCATAACTCAGAAGCCACAAGCACAACCCCGCCCCGCCGCCGCCGACAAGCGACATCTTACTTCTACCAAGAACCGACCATCCCAGGCACGGTGCTGTGCTGGCTGCTGATGATGATGCCAGGGCGCAGGGGTGCCTGCGGGGAGGTCCAGCCCAACTGCGCTCGCGCCTCGCCCATCGAGCAGCCTCGCCCATCAATCAGGGAGATGATGTGCCCCCCCCCCCCCCCTCCCCCCTTTCCCATGCGGTCCCCCAATGAACGCCTGTGAGCGAGGGCGAGACACTAGTGGGTCCCTACCTCTGCTCAACACACGACACAGACACGTGTTGCGTCTCTTCTCGTACTTCCGACACAACCATTTCGGACAAGCTTCTGCCCGCGAGTAACCTGCACGTGGCGATCGGTCCAGCGCCGCGAGAAGCGACTCCAGTGGCGCATGCATCGGGGGAGTTGCTCTTTCATTTTACAGCTGCGAGTACCTGAGCGGTCGGTAGCAAGCTGGTTACAAGCGTATGATTGTGCGGTATGGCTGGGGAGAGGAGACCGCAACGGAGGCAACGTTTCGGGACGAGGGGGATTGGACGGCGTGCACCTCGGGTACTTCTTCTTCGCGAACTGCTCGAGCGCGACGTCCCTGGCTGTTGCCGAGCCCCCTGCAGGGTTCACGGGGAGGGAGCAGCAGAGATGGACTGGTGAAGGCTGCGTGCGCGACCGTATGCTTCCTCAGTGGTGCACCTTTTGAGCTGATGGCGACGAGGATGCTCACGAGGACGAGGACCAGCAGGAGGACGGGCATGTCCGCGCAGCTTGTCGCAAGCGGCGAGGCCGAGAAGAGGAGCGTGACCTTCGGTGACCAGACTAGTATTCCGTTGACGCCGACATACGATCCGTTGAGCGGCAGAATGCAGGTGTGTTTCGCCACTCCCTGGATGACGTCGCCCTCGATGTCCTTGGTGTGCGCCTGGTGAAGCTCGAACTCCTTCATCTGCTGCAGTTCCTGCTTCTCCGACTCGCTCAGACCCACGATGAATGCTCGGTCCTCGTCTTGCATCGTAGATTCATACGCCATCCACCGGTCGGCCTGCGACTCGCCTGAGTAGTCTGTGGGACGCGGGAGGGAGACATGGCCAGTAGCGTGGCGGTAGTGAGCACTGCCGCAACGGTGATGGGCCAGCGGCAATGGTGTCTTGGAGCGCGACGGCGGTGGGTGGACGGAGAGGCCAAAGCGAGGGTATATGAGCACACCGTACGAAAGTAGTTCTGGAAAAGGTGGCGCTCCGTCATCTTCCAGGGCGATGGCGTGCTGCACCACAGAAAATCGATTTCATTCGAGCAGGCACCCAACACCGTGATAAGAAAAAACAACATTTCACATACCGCACCAAGTGCTCCACTAGCAGGAGAACTAGGAGAGCGCAACCAGTAGGAGGCCCGCGCCTGCCCCCGTGCCGCCGGGTGCAACTTTGTCCTATACGAGAGGGGAATCCCTGGGACCCTGTCGTGTGGGTGAACCCTGCCCAGCCCCCCTCCGTGTCGCGATGCGCTCCCCGCTCCCGTTCCCCTGTGTCCCTGATCGTCCTTACAAGATCCTGCTCGCGCAGGTGGGGACCCTGTCCTTCTCCCACCCCTTGTTTGGTGTGTCCGTTTTATTTATTTATTTACTAGCAGACCTTGCGCGCACGCGCGCCAAATTTGTTTTTCTGTCTAGGAGAGAGAGAGCCTTTGTGGTGTTGGTGTACGCAATAACGGGACAGGGTGGTTGTTCTCTCTATCTCCTCTTCTAGCTCTTAGCATGAGCTGCGCCCTGTGTCCGACCCCTTTTGCGCAGCAACACCTTAAACTTTCAGGCCCTCCAAATTCGGGTCGGAGCGTAGCGGAGTGGGCCCCGAGTTTGAAAAGGGCGACGGACGCTTGCGTCCTAGCCTCCAACAACGCCTCCCCGGCGCAGAGGGGCCCCCGGAGGGATGCACAACCGCTCCACGCCACGCCGCTTGCGGCGGTCCTCTTCCCAGCTCCGCTGAGGGCAGGTGCGTTATTTTTTTTTCTGCACTGCGGCACCAGGCGCCATAAGCGCGCGAGACCCGAGTGCCACAAGCGCTAATCACCCTGAGCGCGGCCGCAAACCTGCATGAAGCGCGTCGTCAACTGTCGCTGCATCCAGCGTGTTGTACTAAGTGCCATCGGCTGGATCGACTGGGTGCGGGCGCTGGCGCGCGGTCGTGCTGCGCTCTCTCCTCCGACTCTGCCCACCCACGCTGCAGGCCTTCTCGCTGCTGCTCCGAGTCGTTGGGCCAGTTCTGGTGCGCGCCTGCGTGGAGCACATCCCGCCGCGACCTCTCTCGCTCCCTTCTCTCTTCTCGCACACTCTCCTGCCGCCTCACAGGTGGTTCTTGCCAACAGCCTCATCGCGCTCGTGTCGGTGCAGTGGATATTCGGCCTGGCGCCCGTGTACGTCACCGCGCCTTACGGCGTCGTTGCCAGCGGGCTCGTGCACGCGTTTGGCATCTACCTCCTCCTCAACATCCTCTTCAACTATTGGGGCTGCCTGCTCACCCGGCCGGGCTTCCCCGGCGACCACCTCGCGGCGGTCGAGGCGGCGGCGGAGCGGGCGACGCGCGACTCGACGGTGCCGCGCGTGCGCTTCTGCAAGCGGTGCCGCGTGCCCAAGCCGGCGCGCACGCACCACTGCTCGGTGTGCAACCGGTGCGTGCTGAAGATGGACCACCACTGCCCGTGGGTCAACAACTGCGTCGGCTTCTTCAACTACCGGTACTTTCTGCTCTTCCTGCTGCACCTGGCCGCCGGCTGCGTCTTCGTCATGTGCACCTGCCTCCTCGGCCACCTGCAGGGCCACGACCTGCTCTCCGCCCGCAACTCCTCCGTCCTCTTCGTCGCGGTGCTCTGCTCGTCGGCGAGCTTCTGCTCGGCGTCTCGGACTCTTCTCGGACCCTTCTCGGACTCTGCTCGGACCCTTCCCGTAGGTGCTGTGTGCGCTCGGCATCTTCCTCTTCTGGCACGTCTACCTCGTGCTCACCAACCAGACGACGATCGAGTTCTACTCGAACCGGATGGACGCGATGGAGGCGCGCCGCGAGGGCCGCACCTTCCGCAACCAGTACTCGCTCGGCTACCGCGCCAACGCGGAGCAAGTCTTTGGGCCTCGCACCCGCTCCTACCTCGGGTGGACGCTGGTCAGCCGCACGCGGCCGCCGGGCGATGGCGTCGACTGGCCGACGCACCCGCGCGAGGCCCTCCACCACGTGTAGCCCCGCACTGCCACTGTGGAGCGTGGAGAGCTCATTTTTGCGAGTCAGACTGGTGGAGTGTGTTGAGCGCCCCGCCTGCGTTTATTGTGCCCCTCTTTTTGGATTGAGCGCGCGCGTATGCTACGTGGGGAACATGCGGGAGCAAAACCCTTTATCTTCGATTGAGACGATTCAAACACACCGCGGCGGGAGTGGCAAAACCCACACACATCTACTACGCGAGAGAGGGAGCCGTAACTAAGACAGCTCACTTTAATTCAGGAAACTGACCTTCTTCCGCCCACCACCCGCACTCCGAGCTTCGCCTTCCCTTTGCCAGCTTTGGATCGTCGCGCAGGCGCCTGCAGCCCCCGAGCGTGCGCGGCCTCTTGCTCTTCCGCCAGAATTAGGCTGAGACCAGTGCGACTGGGTCGGCCGTGAGCTGGGCCACGGCGTGCGTATATGCTTGCAGGTGGGGGATCAGGCGGTCGCGCGAAGGTAGCGGTCGTGCAAACGGGATGGCAAGCAACATCGTCGAGCTCAGCCGGCTCGTGGCATGCGCGTGGCTGGCTGGCTTGCAGCCCACCGTCCCGAATGTCTGCTAGCGACACGACTGTGAAGTCGTGTGGATGCGCCAGCGCTTCTGGGGCAGCGTCGGGCTCATCAGTCGGCATCACTGCGAACCCGTTTCGCCTCACCTTCAGCAGCATCGTGGCGGCGCGCACAAAGCAGAGGGCGCAAGACAGAAGGAGTAGAAATCCGGCGAACAAGGGTGCTCTGCGGCGTTCCAATGAGGCGGCCTCCGGCGGACCCTGGGGTTGTGGCGGTGGATCGAAAGTCTCTGGAACCGGCGCCGATGCCGGAGCCGGTGCCAATGCCGGTGGTTGAGGTGGTGGCAAGAGCAAGAGCGGTGGGCGCGGTGGGAGCGACGGTGCTCCTGCGCTCGCGAAGGAGCACGCCCAACCGGCGGGGCACGCACCCGTGCGACAGTGGGCTAGCGTCGGGAAGTTGACGTAGCAAGTGTAAGCAGGGTCTGAGCAACAGCGCTGAGACCAACAATTGGCGAGTGGGTCCAGCGCGGTGGAGCATTTGAAGCGCCCACCCATAGCCAGCGACTCCGCCTCTTGTGGCGGCGGAGGCGGCAGCAAGCTGGGAGAGGGTGAGCTGACCTGGCCGCTCCACACGCCGTTGAGGAGCCGCATCAATGGCACGTCCTCCGTCTCGCGGCGCTCCTTGTCCTCGTGGACGAGCTCAAACCCCCACTTTTCGTTGCGGTACGAGCGCCATATCCACAGAGCTGAGTGGATGCGTCGCTCTTCAAACAAACCAGCCACGTCCGAGGCATAAGCTAGCCGGCCGGAGCGAACCGAGTGCTTGACACCCCACTGATTCGAAAAGACGGGCACCCGGTGTGTGCGTGCGAGGGTCGATGGGTAGTCAAGGAGCGTCTCCAGCCAGCTGCGGTCGACGCGCACAACCTGCGACGCGTTGTCGCAAAAATTGCGGACCCATCCCCGGAATGCGACCCCACAAGGGTAGTCGCCAGGGTATCCCAAGCCTTCAGCGGCTGGCTCGGCGGTAATGAAGTCCCACGGGTCATAGAAGTCGAAGGTGTAGAGCACATCAGGCATAGGCGCACCCGTCGGCAGTTGTAAAATCATTGACGAATTGAGCTGCCACACCTTGTAGTATGGTGTCGGACCAACGACGCATGGTATGGGGATGCGGCGATCGGCAAGATGCACACCGCTGCACACGCTCTCGTAAAACCTCCGGACCGTTGCTTGCTCAGTGACCTTCGAGCGTGGCTCAGACATGACCTCGAAGCCCGCGAGCATGGGCTGGTCAACCATCGCTCCCGCTATGTGTCTCCACATTGCCTCGAAGGCGCTCGCAAGTCTTGTGTCGTGGAAGACGTCGGCAGCTTCTGGGTAGGACTCCCCCGCCGCGAATCTGGCCTTCGCGGCGATGATGACCCAAAAGCCTGCGTCGGCGAGACGTTGCACAGCGGTCCGAAGCGCGTCGAGGCAGTGAGGTGCGAAGTAGCCGGTAGACTCGTCGTCAACGCAGCAGCGGTCAGCAGGGGCACAAAACGGGGGAGAGGAGCCGTCCGTTGGCGGCGGGGCAGGTGGCGCATCATGCCAAAACACACCAACAAGGCGCACGAGGTTGGCAGCAGGAAGGAGCTTCCGCAAGAGCGCAATGTCGTCGAAGCGCAAATAATCGAGAAAGATGTTCACCCCGTGCAGTAGCAGCTCCTCGCCACTGCTGGAGTCGAGTAGTCGCTCGCCCTGTACTATGATACGACGAGGTGCCTCAGACTCTGCGGCCTCCGCTGCGGCCTCCGCGGCCGCCTCAGACTCGGCCTCAGCAGCGTTGGCTGCTGCGACTCTCGCATCGTCCGCATCTGCCGATGGCACCTCGACCCGCCAGAATGTCGATGCGCCGAGCTGGACACAAAATGAAACCGGCTCGCCATCACCGACTCGGAGGGTACATCTGCCGCCTCTGCCAGAATAGTCGAAGGCGAGGCATTCCGGAAACGCATCGTCACATGCAGCCTTGCACATGTCAATGCTGACCTCTTCCAGCGGCGGAGACACTTCGATCGCATCCTCGCAGTCCACCATAGATGCGCCAGCGGAGGCATACACGTGGTCGATCAACTCAACGGGCACGCAGAACTCACACGAGCGACACTTACAGAATTCGCAATGCGACGTCTTTTGTCGCAGAGAGCACCAAGCAGCGCAGCCTGCGGTCAGCGCATCCTTTGGGATGCTGGACGTGCATACGGATCCTGCTTGCAGCATTGGTCGCTCTGCGCTATGGCGGATCCTATGGCCTTGATGTGCGCAATGGGCGCGAGCGCCCGTCGTCGCGCGAAGGGCAGAAAAAATTCCTTTAAGAAAACAGAAAACGAAAGTCGCGGCGAGTTTTTCATGTATTACTCTTCCTTTCAATCTTTTGCACAGCAGCCGAAGCTGATCCGATTTATATATTCCGACCGTCCGCGCGTTCTTTCGCCTGTCGGCCTCGTCGGGTCGGGCTCTTACACCATGCCGATCAGCAAAGGCGTGGTGGTAGTGGTCGATCCGGCCACCACCGGCGGTGCGTTGGCGGTTGAGGTCTCCAAGAGGGGCTACGAGGTCATCGCTCTCTGGACGGATGAATGCGCGGGGATGGAAGACCATGTCAACCAGGAGACGGCAGCGTGGAAGGAGTCCAAAGGCTACTTCTGCGAGCTCAAGGAGCGGCCGACGATCGAAGACACGGCGGCGTACGTGGTCAAGCTCTCGGGCGGCAAGCCGCCGCTCGCGATCATGTGCGGCGCCGAGAGCGGCGTCAAGGTGTGTGACAAGTTGACCGAATTCCTGAAGATGCGCGGCAACACCACTGCAAACGGCATGGAGAACCGGCGGGACAAGATGGTGCAACAGAATGCTGTCAAGAAGACTGGAGTGCGCGCCGTCCGCGGTCTCGACGGCAAGGTCTGGGAGGGCGAGATAGAGGAGTTTGTTGACTCCGAGCCGTTTCCAATTGTCGTGAAGCCGGTGGAATCCGCGGGATCCGAGGGCGTCAAGCTAGTGCGAACCAAAGAGGAGGCACAGGCGCACTTTCACTTGCTCATGAACTCGCAGCGCATGATTGGAGCCTCCGATGCCGCGGTGTGCATCCAGGAGTTTCTCAAGGGGACCGAGTGCGCTCTCACAAGCACAGTCCCCATCCAGCGCTGCCGGCCCTCAGGCCTCACCTCTCCCCTGCTGCAGGTACGTGGTTGACCAGGTGTCAAAGGACGGATACCACAAGACGATGATGGTCTGGCAGTATGACAAGCGGCCGCGCAACGGCTCGCAGTTTGTCTACTTTGGTGTGCTCCCCTGCTCAGCCCACAATCGCCGTTCCCTTTCACAGACCAATGCCCGCGCCTCCCCGCACAGGAATGGTGCCGGTCAACCCCCAGTCCAAGACAGCACAGTGGCTGATCCAATACACCCGCTGCGCACTGGACGCGATCCACTTCAAGAATGGGCCGAGCCACAGCGAAATCATGATGACTGCGCAAGGCCCGTGCTTGGTCGAGATCAATTGCCGGTGCCATGGCGGCAATGGCGCATGGATGCCGCTGGCCTCAGCTCTCACCGGGGGCTACAACCAGGTGGTGAACGCCGTCGGAGCCCTGCTCTTGGCCTCGGGCTCAGAGCGCCCCCGGCCATGGCGTAGGTCACCGCAAGCATCGACTGCTACCTCGACGACGCGGCTTGGAACGAGCTCCCTTCGGCGCCCGCCTATCCCTTCAAGGGCAGCGGCTGCAACATAATGTTCGTCTCCTACGTTGACGGCAAGGTGGTCTCGTGCCCGGGCTACGAGGAGATCAAGAACTTTAAGTCGTACGTCCACGTCGACGAGGACATTTCGCCGGGCGACTCAATCAGCAAGACGATCGACCTCTTCACCTCGACCGGCCAGTGCATCCTCAGCCATCCGGACCCGGCAGTGGTCGAGGCGGACGTGAAGCGAATTCGCCACCTTGAGAACTCCAACAAGATGTTTATAGTCGAGGGCGTCACCGCGGACGAACGGGCTTCGATCGCCTCAGAAAGGACCTCTACCGTGCGCCCGTCGATGGTCGACCGCATGCAAGAGCAGCACGCCACGGCCGAGCTCATGGCAGCGCAGATCGAGTACGACGCCAAGGTGGCGGAGGAGAAGAAGAAGTCGACCGTGCTCGCAGCAGGAGCTGCCGCCGCTGTTGGGACACTGGGCGCGGCACTCTTGATGGTGAAGAAGTAATCTCGACCCCGCAATCTACGCCCCTGACACGCGAGTTTTGATGGGAGCAACACGATGTGAGTGCGAAGGCGAACCGGCGCTTGGCGTTTCAGGTGTGTAGGTCCAGCTTGAGCGTGCGGGAGATAACTCAAAAAGTACGCTCTCGCTCCCGCGCCGCGCGCTCTGTGCATCTTGAAGCTAGTCACAAGTCAGTAGCTTCTCACGACCCTGGCCACGACCCACTGGGGGACTCAGGGGGGGGGGGGGGGGGGCTGAGCCTGTGAGGCTTGAGAGCCCCAGGCCTCGGTGCCGGATTTTCATTCGAACATCATCCTCTTTTTCCACCGCGCAGACCGGCACAGAGTTTGACCGTTTTCATTCGTTGGAACGAAAAACAAAAAAACAGTCTGCGCAACCGATTCATCACAAGACACAAAATGTAGATGTGGAAGAGGAGCGATGCACACACTCAGGTACGGCGCTCTTCGGATGTATGTAGCCGCACTCAACCCACACAACACCGATCGAGAACCCTCACACTCATCTCCGTAGCTCGGCACGCATCACCTGCTCAAGCCGGTCCGCTGCGTCTTGCGCACTGGCGACACCCTCCTCGGCGGATTCTCCTCGCCACGCGACGTGCCCGTCGGGGCGGACCAGCACCGCGCAAGCCGGGCTCGCCGCCAGCTTGCTCCTCCACCCCCCCGGGTCTTGCACGAGGAGGGCGCCAGGTGCGGCCGCTGCGCTGAGCTCCTCCACGGCCGAAGTGGCGACGGCGACTACGCGCAGCATCGGCGGCGGGGCGTCGCGCTCCGAACCGCCGCTGGAGCGCAGAAGCATCGCCGCCCCGCCGCCCCAGTAGCCTGCGTCCTCCGCGTCGACGAAGAGAGTGAAGGCGGCGGGCGAAACGCTCTCCGGCGGCAGGATCTCGCCGCCGCCGGACGCGGCATGGAGGAGGTCCAGTGAGGAGACCGGCTCCGCAGGGTCCGCCTTTGGTCGCTCCTCGGGCCCGCCCTCCTTCCCGCGCGGCACGGCGTGCAGCCAGTGGTGCGGCAGCCGCGTGCCTGGACGGGTGCAGGGCGGGTCAAAAAAGTGGAACGGGCGCGCTCACGGGCATGCGGGAGCCGCGCACCTGGCGCTCCGCACAGCCGGAGGGTCTCGTCCTCCACCTCCGCCTCAGTCTCGTCCAGGCCGAGGGCCTGGCGGCGCGGCGCGTCGCGAGCGGGGTACGCAAAGCCGAGCTCGTGCCGAGGAAACAGGAGCGGCAACGCGCGTCGCTCCGAGACGACGGCGGCCGCCGCCGCCACCCGCGCGTCGCCGACGCCGGCCGCTGCGCCGGCGGCGTTGAGTCGGTCCGCGAGCGGCGTCGCGCGCGCAGCTCCGCTCTCGCGGTCTCCGAAGGAGGAGAGGAGACCCGACCGGGCGAGGTCGAGGGCGGCGCTGGCGGTCTGCGCCACGCGGCGCGAGCCGAACGCCCTCGCGACCGGCGCGGGCGCGGCGCGCGACGCGGCGCCCAGAGCCCCCGCCGCGAGGTCGGGCGCTGCAGCGGGCAGGCCGAGCGCCTCAGCCACCCTCAGGCCTCGCTCGTAGTTGTGGACGGCGAGGCGCGCGTTGGCGTGGGCGACAGGGCGGCGCTCGGCGTCGTAGCTCGAGAGGAGCCGCTCCTACTCGCGGAAGGCAGCCCCTCACGCTCGATCCACCGCCTCGACCCTCCGCCTACGGGAAGCTCGCTCCGACGCGGACCCGTGGTGGACCGCGGCGAGCTTCCACGCGATGTTGTGCGCGTCCTGCAGGCCGGTGTTCATGCCGAAGGCGCCCGCAGGAGGGAACTGGTGCGCCGCGTCGCCCAGCAAGTGAACCTAGAGAGCAGCACCGAGGCCGTCGGTGGGCCCGCGGCTCGGCCGCGGTGAGCCTGCGCCGCCGAGGGCGTGGCGTGCCGGTCCAACCGACATGCGCTGGGCGACCTTGGCGGACATGCGCCACGCGCCCGCCGAGCAGACAGAGAGGTCCGGGAGAGGCCCGCCTGCGGACGCGTCAAGGGACGTGCCAGGGGACGCGTCAAGGACGTGCCAGGGGACGCGTAATGGGGCGGTGTCATGGGGCGGTGCCATGGGCCGGTGTCATTATGCGATGGGTCGGTGTCGTGAGCAGCGCGGAGGGTCGGCTAGCAGCCCGCCGACGAGCTCTTCGATGATCCGTCCGCACTCGGCGACGTCGAGCGCCGTGCCGTCCTGCGGCGGTGGGAAGGAGGGCGGCACTGTTGAGAGACATCGCAGCATGATGGTACAGACTAACATCCAGTCCTGCAGCGGCGGGAAGAAGGGCAGCTGCGCGACCCACTCGCCGCGCCTGCCCGGACAAACAGCGGTGAAGAGGCGCGGCTCAGCGTGGAAGGAGGGCCGGGCGGGAGCCTAGGCCGCGCCCCATGTGATGCGCCACGAGCACCGCCACCGCCTCCGGGTGGAAGACGAAGTAGAGCATCGCCGGCCTGGGGAGGGGGAGAGCGCGGCCAGAGGTGGGCGCGGGGAGGGCGGCCGGCTCCAGGCGGCCAGCTCGGGGACGCGAGTCTGGGCGCGGCCACACCGCTCAGCGAGGCGCTCAGCGAGCGATGGCGCGCGGAAGTGCACGCTCTTGAAGTGCTGCAGCGGAGGCGGTCCTATGTACGGCTGGGCGTGTCAACGGCGCCTCCTCACGCGCTTGAAGCCCCGCTGCAGCAGGCAGCACCCGAGAGGCGGAGGCCGAGCGCGCGGCGGACGGGAGAGTGCGCACCGTCGCACGCGAGCAGAGCACTCCCCTCCATCTCGATCACCTCGCCCTCGCCGCCTCCCTCCCCGCCGCCGCCGCGTGTGGCTTGCCGCGCCTCGACGCGAACTCCTCCTCCGGGCAGCACGTCGAAGTGGGCGCACTCGTAGCCAAAGAGGAGCTGCGAGCCGGCCTCGGGGGCGAGGCGCGCCGCCTCCTCGCGCAGCACCTCCTCGAGCCCCGGCTGCGACACGTGCGTCAGCCGTGCGGGCGACGCCTCTTGCAGCACGTCCCACGCCGGTGTCGCCATGTGGTCGTCGCACGCAATCTGTCGGCCAAGGAGGCTCCGGCAGTACCGAAACTCGCGCCACTCGCGCATCGGCGGAGCGAGCGACTCCACCCGCTGGTCGAGCCCCACCTCGCGGAACAGCTCCATCGAGCGCGTGTTGATGAGGTGCGCTCGCGGGTGCGGGATGCCTGCGCGCTGGCGCTCCAGCAGGATGGAGGGCACGCCAAAGCGCGAGAGGAGCACCGACGTGTAGAGGCCGACCGGACCGCCGCCGGCGATGAGCACCGGCGCGCGGGCGGGCTTCGGCGGCATTGCTCTGCAGCACGGAAACACAGTCGGCGATCGGGGGCGGGAGCGGGTGTTCTTTTTCTTTTTTACACATTTTGAGAGGGGAAGAGGAATTTCTGACCGCGCAAGATATAAAGGGTGGCTAAGGCTCTGCCCGCAAGGCGCCCGCGTCGCAGACGCGGTACAATTGACAAATCTGCATTATACCCCCACACGAACAAATAGCAAAATCCGAATACCGTGCAGAAACCATGTGATCTGGGCCGTGGACGGACGCAAGCCTTCAGCTGGTGCCAAGACATCGCTCCGTTTTGTACGGGAGCACTGCAGCAACCACAGCGCCGGGGGCTATTGCAACACATATGGAGCCGCCTCTGGTAAATGCTGCACCCGCCGGAGCAGCGCCCACAGCCGGAACCGTGCCCGCAGCTAGTCCTACAGTCCCAACAACTTCGCCGACGATGGCCCCAACAGTGATTCGCAGCACGTGTCCCTGGCCGCAGAAGGAGAGAAAGGCGTACGGGCGTAGACACGCACTGCTGCACGAAAGAGAAGGACAAGGTGAAGGACCCCACTTGCAAGCTCCAAGCTAGGTGCGCAGGCATAGTGTACGACTTTCACGAGTGCAGGACCCTCGATCGCGACAACCGGATCTTTCGCAAGACCGATCCGGCTGTGATCCTAGTTTGCACATCCTCGACGACCATTGCGTGCGCACTCAGCAACCACTTGACTGGCCAGCCCTGCAGAGGAAGAAGTATTGGTTCATGGGGTTCTCAGTCACCAGGCACTACTGCAATGCGATGGGGAAGTTGATGAACAAAGACTACAGGGAGTTCTTAGACCGACGAGAGCTATCTTATTGATTCGTGTCGCTATGGAAGAGCTATCGCCCGCAGCCCTGGCGAACGAGCAGTCCTCGCGTTTCTACACCTTCTTGCTCTGCTCACCGCTGCCTCTGCCTTCAGCCATGCAGCCAGATAATCTTCGATTTTTGCGGTGTCACAATAAGTTGCGAGTTTGACTCGTTGCCAGAGCAGCTAGGTGGATACACCCACGCCGAGCCTCACAGGTTCGATGAAAAAGGCGCGCTTTACTGGATCGCAACGGCAGGAAGGACTCAGCCATACGTCAATCCGCACCGCAGCGGCTTAATGCTAGCGGCGATGGAGCCACAGCTGCCCTGAGCGTTTGTGATGCACGGGCATGATGGCAGACAGCGAAATAACACGAGAAACGTGCCGATGAGCTGGATGTCCGTCGATATCGGCGAAAACCGGTGGCTGTCTGTCTCATATTATTGCCTGCGCCAAGGAGTGAGCAGCGGCTTCCGCATGAGGAATTGGGAGCTCCAGGGATGCAACGACGGGCTGTCTTGGCAAATGCTGTGCAAGCACGAGCGCGACTTGTCCTTTGGCGAGCAGGCACACGGGGTAGCTGGGTGGGCCGTTGAGAATGCAACGGCCTACAGGCACTTCCGTATACTGCAGACGGGCAAGAACTCCGATGCGGTGCACACGGGGGTGCTCGCCTGCGCTGGGATTGAGCTCTACGGCGCGCTCACCCTCGCTTGCTGCGGGAGGTACCGAAGCAAGGGCAAGGGGGGCGCCTCCTGCGTGACCTCGGGGACGCGCGCGACGCCTGTAACAACCTGCCTTTTGACGATGCGCTGCGCGACAAGATAGCTACCGAACTGGATCGCATCGAGGCTGCTCCGCCTCTCGAGCGCATGTTGGTGACGAAGCCGCCGGTCAAGAGGTGGGCGGAATTGGTCAGCCGGCAGAAGGATCCGTCCATCAAGACGCGTCGTCAGGCTGCGCTCACCGCCATGCTGCGCGTCGTCGACCGCCTCCCCGCTCGGGGGCCAAGCCAAGGTGCTGCGTACTCGAGTAGCCTTACACCCTTACTGTAGGAAGCTTTCATGCTCCAAGGTGACGCAGCCAGCCCCATCCGCCCCCCTTGCACAGACTCTTCCCGCTTGACTGAAACCAGAGGGGTGAGGAACCACCCCGACCCAGTCAATGGCGCGTCGGGGCCAGCGAATGCGCCCCAACCCTCCACTGCTGCCGCCTCATCCTGCGCTGCCACCGGTGCGCGCCGGCTCGAGGCTTTCCGGGCACACGAGGACACAAGGCGGCAACGTCTGCCCACTGTCCGCGCAGGTGTGCGGCGCTCGTCGAGATTGACGGCAGGGCGTTGGGCTCGGCGGCGATGTTGGAGGGTGCGCGTGCGGGTGAGGGCGTCCGCGGGTGAGGCGTCCGGCCGCTAGTGTGCGCACCCTCGAGCCGTCACGACCCCGACCGTCAGCTTCTCTGCGTGAGTGTGTATGGCTAGCGTGCTTCCACCACTGCGCGCCCGCGCCTGCGGCGCCGCCGCGGCTCCCCACCCTTTTGCGCAGCAACACCTTAAACTTTTCAGGCCCTCCAAATTCGGGTCGGAGCGTAGCGGAGTGGGCCCCGAGTTTGAAAAGGGCGACGGACGCTTGCGTCCTAGCCTCCAACAACGCCTCCCCGGCGCACAGTGAAGGTGCAGCCGCGCACTCCGCCGCAGCGGCGGCGGCACGCGCGCGGCGGCAGAGAAGGCGCTCGAGGCCAAGGGGCGGCGCGAGCAGCGCGAGAGGGAGGTCCGCTGAGGGCCCGTACGTTATTTTATTATTCTCTTTTTTGTGTTAGTGCCAGTGCGAGTGCGCGCCAGTCCCGTGCCCAGTGTTGTGCGAGGAGTTTTCTTGTAAACTTATCTCTTTCCTTCTAAATAAATAAATAAATAAAACGGGCACGCCAAACGAGGGGTGGGAGAAGGACAGACAGGGTCCCCACCTGCACGAGCAGGATCTTGTAAGGACGATCAGGGACACAGGGGAACGGGAGCGGGGAGCGCATCGCGACACGGAGGGGGGCTGGGCAGGGTTCACCCACACGACAGGGTCCCAGGGATTCCTCTCTCGTATAGGACAGGTTGCACCCGGCGGCACGGGGGCAGGCGCGGGCCTCCTACTGGTTGCGCTCTCCTAGTTCTCCTGCTCCTGACAAGGGACAGCGACAGGCTCGCAGCACGGTGGACTCCCTATTCCACTGGCGATCTCTCTCGACTAGCGACCTTCCTCCGGCTTCTCACCAGCAGTCTCTCACTACCACGGGCACACTGACAGAGGCGGCCAAAAGGCTCACGTGGGTGGCAGGGCGGTGATAGGAGTCTCCCACTCTGTGGGCTTCGCTAGAGGTGCGGCCCCTGCGCGTGTCCTCGCCCTTTGCGGTCTTGAAGGGGAAGGGGAAGGGGCTGTGTGTGTGTGTGTGTGTGTGTGTGTGTGTGTGTGTGTGTGTGTGTGTGTGTGTGTGTGTGTGTGTGTGTGCCTGCGGGCGCTGTGCGAGCCGCCCTGAACGACCACAATGTTGAGCGCGCTCGAGCACCGAAGCACCGCGAGCGCCGGCGAGCACCACCGCCCCGCGCCTTGGCGTGGGTCGGTAGTACACGATGCGGCGCCCAACATGCTCTATCATGCGTCGCACCCGCAGTGGCCGAGCCGACCGCCGCTCGAACTGGCGCCGAGTGGCTCCCAGATCGAGCGCGGCAGGCTCAGTCGCACCGTCGCGGGGCGAACACGAACCGAGCCGTCGCCGTTCGCCTTCTATTCGAGCCTGTCTTCAGATAGAGTTCTTTTGTTTGCATAGGAATTTTATCCGCGTCGGGGGGCGCATCCTGGCTGAGCCGTTCCACGAGGGCCGCGCGATGAGCGATGACGAGAGCACACACAGGGCCGTGCGCTGGGAGCTCGGCTGGGAGGTACACGCGTGCGCGCGCGCGCAGGAGCGGGAGCAGCTGAAGCGCCTCTTGCGCGAGGGCGGCAGCTACTGCGGAGCACCAGAGGTGCGGCCCGACCTCGACTGGCAGGACGAGCTCGGAACGACCGCACTCTGGTGGGTCTGCCTCAACGGCGACCACGAGCTCGCCCGGCTTCTCGTCGAGGCCGGCGCAAACGTAAATGTGACAAACGCAGACAAGTGGACCGCGGCTTCGGTCGCCGCCCGGTACGGGCATGACGACTGCCTCGAGGTGCTGATCGCCGCCGGGGCCGACCTGTCCGTCGTCGTCTCCGACGGCGACACGGCGCTGGACAAGGCTATCTTCTGGGAGCACGTCGAATGTGAACAGCTGCTCCGCTCACACGGCGCCGCCACGGCGGCCAAGCCAGTCGTTGTCGTGGGGAGAGGGGGCGTTGGACTGGCAGCGTTGCACGCTGGTAGCCATTAAGTTACGCATCACGCATACACACATATATCAGACCAAAAAACCAACCTTTCGAGACGCAATCTACCCGTCCGCGCCCGTGTCGCCGCCCGTCTGCGTCTCTCCCGCCCCCGGCAGTCGCGCCACGAGCACGCGATCGAAGAGGAGAGGAAGGCAGCGGAGCACATTGAGTGCGTTTGCGAGCGCGTACACGAGGGTCAGCGGGCCGCCCGGCGGCTGCGAAAATACGAGCCGTGCGGGCCCAATGAACCATGCGTCCGCGTTTGAGAGCGCCTCGACCGCCCAGCCGGCTCCCGCGTCCGCCTCCGCCCGCACGAGCCAGCAATAGCCAAAGCCAAGCGAGAGGGCGCCACCGAGGCCAACCTGCGCCAGCAAAGCCACGAGAGGGAGCGAGCGCGATGTGGTGCCCAACTTTTCGTAGTGCCCATCGCGCGCCCGCCGCCGCACACGCGCCTCGGCGGCCCGGAAAAACTCGTCTTCGCCACCGCCCAGCGGATCGCCCGTGTCGTCGGGGCCGGGATCGGGCTGCTCCGGCGGCAGCCGGAGGGCAGAGCGCCGGGCCTCCTCCGCAGAGTCGTCCTCCACGCTGCTCAAGATGGGCGCCGCGCGAAGGACGTTGGATGAGAGCAGCGCGGGCTGGCTCGGCCGAGTCGCGACGACAAGAGCGGCGGCGCTGCAGAGGGAGGCGGCCCACAGCATCGGTGAGGGCAGCGGCCTGAGAGGAGAGAGCACTCTTGCTGCTGTCGGGCGTACGCCGAAGCAGCCCGAAAAAGAAAAATTTTGCGCGGAAGCTCAACGTCGGTCGGGGGTTGTCGAGGCTGAAGAACACGAGGGGGGAACGAGGAGGGGGGAATGGGCGGTCGGCGATGGGGTAGAAGCGGCAGGGCGTACGGGGTAGACGGTAGTCGTCACACCCTCCTGCCTCAAAAGGGCGGGGCTGTCCCGGAAAGTGAGAAACGCCGGGCAGCATGACGCACAATTTTACCCGGGTGGGCGCGCGGTGCTAGGCGTGCGGTGCGGAGCGGCGTGTGCGTATGTGTGTGTGTGTGACTGCGACAAGGGACCATTGGGTTTGTATTATTAACAACGAAGGCGCTCTCAAAAAAGAAAGAAGTTGGCTTTGCCCTCAGCTAGCGCGACCGCGCCGCTCCCACTCGAGCCAAGAAGAATGTTCAAAGCCCCGTGAACCTGAGGGAGGGTGTAGAGGATGTAGAGTGTAGAGCGCTGTAGAGCTGTAGAGATGTAGAGCGCTGGAGAGCGCTGTAGAGCGCTGTAGAGCTGTAGAGCTCTACATCCGCCGCGCCCGCGGGACGAAGCGCCTCCGTTGTAGAGCGATGTAGAGGCGCTCTCTCTACAACGTGAAATCTCTAACAAACTCTTGTTATGACCCCCCCCAATGAACACACCAGTGAGGGAGGGCGAGACGATCGGAGGGTCCCGTACCATGCGGAATCGACCCTATCAAGTGCTCAAGTGCTCGACAAGTGCTCGACAAACTCTACATCATAAGCGGCGAACGAGGCACGGTCGCTCTCCGACATGAGGCGCGTTGCACTTGCCAGTGCGGCCCTGGCCTTCTGTCTGCCCGCCCAATGGGTGGCAGGTGCCTCTGCTGCTATGGCATGCCTCACGGCTGCGACTGGCCGGCGCCTCGGCGCGTCAGCTCGGCTCGGCGTAGCGATCGTGGCCAGCGCAACTCGCCTGGACTCAACGCTCAGCCAGGAGCTCCCGCACGCGCTGGCGCGAGTCATGGCGCATGCAACGCGTCTGAATGCTCGCCTCGCCTCGCGCAAATGCGACCGTCCTCGCAGCCGACAGTCCACCGCCTGCTAAAGAAGCACAGCGACGAATGCGGCACCGGCGACGCATGGCAGGCTGGTGATGACGCAGTTATGGGGTGTTGTGTGCCATCAGAGTGACTCTCTGTGTGTCAGGGATAGTCAGGGCCGTCCATCAGAGCTCCAGTAAGCTCGGAGACACCCCATTAGCGCGGCTCGACCTCTTTGAGTCACTGCCTTCCCGGCGGTTTGTGGCTGTAGAGCCTCTACAACATACTCTACAGCAAAATCGCGCTCTACATCGCTCTACAACGGAGGCGCTTCGTCCCGCGGCGGATGTAGAGCTCTACAGCTCTACAGCGCTCCAGAGCGCTCTACATCTCTACAGCTCTACAGCGCTCTACACTCTACATCCTCTACACCCTCCCTCAGCCGTGAACTTCCGTCTCGAGCCTGAACTGCCCGATGCCCGTCGCGCGTCGGACATGTCGCACCAGGGGGAGGATCCGAGCCTGCCCTAGTGCCCAGAGCCTGCCACCCACGTGCCGCCGAGATGTCGCCTATGTGAAAGAGGCCCCCTCCCCCTCGTCGAGTGTGTGTAGTCAGTCGCTCAGAAGTCCCTCTCCGCGTGCGATGCGCCGCCCCTCGCCCTCCCCCTTGCCAAAATCCTCCTGCAAACAAAGGTGGGACGTCATCTGACGTCTGTCTGTCCTCCTCCCAGGACGGTCGCTCGTATGCGTTGTCATTTGTTCTTTCTTTCTGCGCGCGATCCGCGAAGGTGAACAACTCTCTCGAAGGTGACCGCGTTGAGAGAGAGAGAGAGAGCTGTTGCGCGCGAAAGTGAACGAACGAGGGAATTGCCGACCGGGTAAAGAAAGAACGCAACAAGAAAGCGCGGAATCTTCTCTAGCACGCGCCAGTCCGCAGCTGGGTCCCGCCGGATTTTAAAATTCTTCTCGCAGACCTTTCGCGGACTTCCACAGTGCCAAGCCGCGCGCAACGATGCCCGAGCTTCCGGAGGTGGAGGCCCAGCGCAGTACCATCGAGGCTGCGACGCTTGGGCGCCGCATCGCCACCCTGATTGCCGTGGAGCAGGGCGGCGGGCCGCGTGAAGGGCAGTTCGACGACAAGGTGATTGCAGAGGAAGTCACGCCCGACGTCCTGGCCATCACGCTGCAGGATCGGTGGGTGCTCGGCGTGCGTCGCCGAGGCAAGCAGCTCTGGCTGGAGCTCGGCGAGAGCAAGGGCGGCGCTTGCTGCGCGTGCCTCCTTATCCACATGGGCATGACCGGCGCTGTGATCGTGCAGGGCGTCGCCGCCCCCGTCTACAAGTCATTCGCTGTCGACGAGACGGCGTGGCCGCCTCGCTTCACCAAGCTGGAGCTGCTGATGGCCGATGCAGCGGGCGTCTCCGCGCCCTGCGTCCGCCTGGCCTTCACCGACCCGCGTCGCTTCGGGCGGGTGCTGCTCCGAGGCGCCGACCCGTTCTCCCGGCCGCCGCTGAGCGCCCTCGCCGCCGACCCGGTCACGGACCCGCCGTCGGCTGAGGCGTTCGCGAGCGTGCTGCGGCGGGTGCGCGCGCCGATCAAGGCCGCGCTCCTCGACCAAGGCCGCGTCGTCTGCGGCGTTGGCAACTGGGTGGCTGACGAAGTGCTGTACCAGGCGGGCGTGCTGCCGGCGGCGCCCTGCGAGAGCCTCTCCGAGGAGCAGCTGGCGGCGATCCACGCGCAGGTGCTCGCCGTCTGCACTGCCGCGTGCGGCCGCCTCGAGCGCGGCTGCGACTTCCCCGTCGGCTGGCTCTTCCACCACCGCTGGCAGGCGCGCAAGCCCGGCCCACACCCCCCTCCCGACCGTCCCTGAAGCCCGCCCGCACCCCTCCCGCTCCGCCTGACCGCCGCCCTCCCTCCCTCGCCTCCCTCCTCGCCGCCCACCGGTGCAGGGCCAAACGTCGGGCTCGATGGCGTCGCCGCTCGGCCGGATCCACTTTGACACCGTCGGAGGGAGGACGACGGCCTTCGTGCCGGCCCGGCAGGTAAAGGGGCAGGCGGCGGGCAAGGCGGGAGGCGAGGCCAAAGGCAAGGCGGGGGGCAGGAAGGGGGTCAAGGCGGGGGCCAGGGCGGCGGAGGCGGGCGAGGTGGCGGGGGCGGCGGCGGCGGGCGAGGAAGCGGTGGGCAAGGACAAGGGCAAGGACAAGGGGAAGGGCAAGGGCAAGGACAAGGCGGGGGGGCGCGCAAAGCGAGGGACGGCGGAGGGGGCGCCTCCAGACAGCGGCGAGGCGGCGTGCGGCGGGGCCGCGGCCTCGGGTGGGGCAGGCTCGGCTGCCATCCTGGCGGGCGGGTGGGCGACGCTGACTGGCCTCGCGTCGCGCGCCGACCTCAACGGCGCGCAGGCGCAGGTGCTGAAGCGGTGCACCGGCAAGGCGACGGCTGGGCGGTGGAAGGTCAAGGCGCACTCGCAGCGACCTGGGCCGCTCCGCCTCGCAGTGTGGGCGGCGACCCTTGACGAGTCTTGCTGAGAACAGGTGCGCGGAGAGGTCCTCGCCGTGCGGGCCGAGAGCTTGGCGCCCTGCGAGCCGGTGGATGAGGCGGCGGGCGAGCAGGCGCGGGCCGAGCCGCCGCGTGGAGGTGGACGGCGGCGGGAGGCTGCGCCGGTCACCGCGGAGGAGCCAGAGGGGAAGCGGCCGCGAAGGTCGCGGCAGGCTGCCGCGTGATGGTGGTGCGCTGGCGCGATCTCAACGAGGGTGGCAGCTGGAGCGAGTGTCGTGGCCGTGGCCACGAAGATCAAGAAAATAAGCGCCGGTGACACTCTCGGACGCTGGGGACTGCGGCTTCCTAAGATCTAAGTCAACTTTTTGAGACGAGAGAAAGAGAGGACGGCCTCCTCATTTTGCCTTTTTGGCTCAAGCTATACGAACTTTCTGAAAATATCTCGGTCATATCTCGACTGTATCTCGGTGTGTTGACGTGAAGCACGAGATTTGTCATTATGAACTCGGGTGTTATAGCTAAGCCAAAAGGATCTCAAAAAGTTGACTTAGGAAGCCGCAGGTCCTATAGCGCAAGCGGTAGCGCCTGTGCGGTCCGCCTGATGCGACGCCGCCGGCGCTTATTTTCTTGATCTTTGTATTTATCTTTATATTGAAACCGGCGGCGAGGGGCGTGTCACGCCGTGTCCGGGCGAAGATACACCGAAGATACACTCGAAGATACACTCGTGACTCGAAGATACACCCTTTATAATGAAGACACACGCCGAAGATACACGCCGAAGATACACCGTGGAGATACATCGAGTGTATCTTTCGCAAATCATAGGCAACTACAAGACTTTATCCGTCTCTCAGGGTCCTCCTGAGGGAAAGAAAAATAGTTATGTAGGAAGTGGAACCAGAAGATTTGGGGGGGGGGGTACACGAGTTGGCGGGACGAGTTGGAGCGCGAGGGCGGCGAATTGGCACAGAGCTCAGAGCCGACCAGTCGATTGCCGTGGTACTGCGTTCGCTGCCGCTGGCTGCTGCCTGCCGCCGGCTGCCGCTGGCTGCCGGGCGCCCGCCGCAAATGGAAGACGAGGACTACGTGGTGGCGGCGGCCGCGGGGGCCGCTGGCACACGAGGTGTCGCGGTGAGGCACAGAGAATGGAGATCGGCGCATTGTGCCATCGCGTTGCGGTCAGTCAGGGCCTCGGCGACGGAGAGCGGGGCGGAGGAGCGGATGAGGCCGGGGCGGCGTTCAAGTGGAAGTATAAGTGGAACATGGTACATGGACGGAGGGGAGCTCTTCGAGGAATGCCTCCTCACGGCCAATAGAAGTCAATAAAATGGCACGAAATTTTCTTCGCGGGGCTCTGCCCCGCACCCCGCTGGGGCTGCCAGCCCCAGACCCCAGGCTGGGGCTCCAGGCTGGGGTCTGCCAGCCCCAGACCCCGAGTTGGTCGGCGGCAGGAGGCCGAGTATACAGCGCGAGTCGCACGCATGGTCGTCGCCACGATCGACATCTCGCCCTTCGCAAACCCGGCGGCGCACGACGACGCCGCTCGCGCGCGAGCTGCTGCGGATTGGGACCGCGCGATGAGTGACGTGGGCTTTGCTGTCGTCGCGGGCCACGGCGTCGCGCCAGAGGTCGTGGGGGCGCTGCGGTCCGCGGCGCACGAGTTTTTCGAGCGGAGCGCCGAGGCGAAGGCTGCCTACTGCCACGGTCCGTACGGCAACCCCCTCGGCGGCTACACCGGCATCGGCACCGAGGCTGTCTCACGCACGCGGGACACGCACGGCGGCGACGGCGGCCGCAGCGCCGGGGCGAGCGCGGCGGCGCCGCCCGACTTGGTGGAGTCCTTCATCTTCAAGCCGGCCTCCCCCGCGGCGGCGCCGACTTGCCTCGACAAGCCTGCCTCGACCTACCACAGCGAGCTGCTCCGAGTCCTCGGCTGCCTGCACCAGCTCACCGCCGCCGCGCTCAGCCTGCCGGCAGACTACTTTGAGCGCTTCTATTCGCCGCACGCCGAGGTGTCGCTGCGGCTCGCCTACTACCCCGCCCTCTCCGCCTCGGAGCAGGCCTCCTCCGCCGTCCGATACGGCGAGCACACCGACTACACCGGCCTCCCCCGCCTCCTGCAGGACGAGGGCCGCGACACGTCCACGACCTGTCCGGACACGTCCCGTAGGCTTCACGCTCCTCTCGCAGGACGAGAGCGACCTGGGCGAGGAAGGCGCGCGGGAGCCCCGATGCTGCCTAGGCTGTACCCGCCCCCCCCCTTCCCCAGTTCGGTATCTTGAAACGCGCCACCGAGGAGAGGAAGGCCAAGGGACGCCTCTCCAATATCAACAACCGGGTGTCGCGCCCGGCCCGCCTCGCCTCTCCTGCAGGCGGTCGCGGAGGCGTCTCCGAGCCCCCGCCTATATACCGTCTCGTCATGGTCGGTCTCTTCCGCCTCCATCTCCGAGGCCACGGTGCCGATCTGACACATCTGGCTCA